TATATATATATATATATATATATATATATATATATATATATATATATATATATATATATATATATATATATATATAAATATTTCTATTACTTTATTTTTATTAACTTCTTTTATTTTTCTTTAACTTTTTATAAGCTTCTCTTCTGATAATATTTATAACTTGACCTCAATCATCTTAATCAATAATAATTTAAAGTTAATAAAACTTATCAACTCATTAATAAAATTATCGATAGTCTTTACTTTTTGAAAATATAAATTTAAGTAATTTTTAGATTAACTATTTAGATGTTTTTTTTCTTACTGAATATGACCTTGAATAAGTTACACATTTACTTGTCTAAGATTATTATCCTTGTTTAATTATACAATACTTTCCATCTCTATATTAATTCAAGGATAATATTGTTAGCCTTGATTAACACATACATCTTACACTTTCCATGTTTCAATAAAAGATTAGAGTATATTTCACACAGATGGCGTCGATTATATTTGAGAAAAAGCTAACAGAATACCTCTTATACACCCAGAGCACACGCAATGTTCAATGTGTAAAGACCTGTGTTGTTCCACGTTGACTGTCACGAACAGCATATATATTTGTGAAGTGCATTTTGTTAAAATTTTTAATCAACAATGTTTATGTACTATCTCTTTGTATTTCTAGTTGGTCTTTCTTGGTTGGGGTAAGAAATATTTTCTTTATTTCGTATGTTTTGTTTTCTTTATCTTTATAATAAATATACTTAAAACTAATCAGCAAAGATTATAAATATCAAGCTCCTACTTCTGTTTGAAAAATGATATTTTATGACAAATAGATATAAAATCTAAATTATTATTAAAAAAGAAATTGTCACACTGTGACTTTCTGAATAATATTCTAACTCTTTTGTTGTTGTGTTGGTTTATATTATTATGCATCAGCATTGCAAATATATACTATGTAATACATTAATTTTAATATATGTAAAATTAATATATTAACTTATGTAATACATTAATTTTAATATATGTAAAATTACCTTATGTTTTGAACATATGCTGTTGTGTACATATAATATTGATGTATACTTATTAAAAATTGCCTTGTTATTTCTATTGAAATATAGTAATAAAATAAATATTTTCTTTTTTTTATGTTTAATGTCAATATATGTAAAATTACCTTATGTTTTGAACGTATGCTGTTGTGTACATACAATATTGATATATACTTATTAAAAATTGCCTTGAAATATTTGAAGAAATTTGCTTAAATTATATGTGCACAATCTATGTACAAATTTAAATATAAATTTTTTGCTCTGTTAGTTCAAGGACTTTTTCATTCATGTTGGCAGTCAATGGATGTCAATTGATTCTTAATTACTTAACAGGCAACCTGCACTTGTCCAAACGAAACATGCTACTCTCTCACACGTATATGTATTGAGCAATTGATCATGACGTATATGTATTGAGCGTATTGATATCGTGACGAGTCTTATCTTTGCAGGTTATTGCGGACGGTTGAATTATTCTTTTAAAGCAATATTTACTTTTAGTACAATAGTTAATTTCATCAAAACAGTATATATATTTCTGCTAAAAATTTCTCACAACTTTCATACTTGCAAATCAAGGATGACTATCAAATATTAAAGTCAAGATCTTATTCATTTTAAAAGGAATTTTTAGGTTTACCAAGGTTACTGAAGAACGCAATTTCCTCATTAAATTTAATCTATTCTCAGGATGACTATGGCGCAAGGAACCATTTCAGTGACATCATGGGGTATAGTAGATGATCAAGAAGTGAAGAAATTCACATTGAGAAACAAAGTTGGTCAAGAGGTGGACATTGTGACGTATGGCGCGACCATAACTGCTATCAAAACACCGGACAAACATGGTAACATAGAGGACGTAATGCTTGGTTTCGACAATATTGAAGGTACTTCGTAAGCTTATTTGTGTGTGTACAAAAAAATGTTCGATAAAATGCTTGACTGATCGAGTCAATGTTACGTTATTCTATGTTAATTTATCTTTGATAATTAAAGAATTGGAAAGACAAATTAAAATTCTTGTTATTTAAAAGATTTACACACAGTGCTTCATAAAAAATGTCTGAATATTTATAGTAGTCTACACTTCTTTAGATTTGAGAGAAAAAAAATAATATCTGAGCAAATATATGAACTACTAACATGAGTTTAAAAAATCTGCACCAACAAATTTATTTGATTAAATTTGGTTTCCGGGTTTGAGCCGCGTGCATTCATCTTTGATTGATTCCGACGTTTCGCGAACATTTCAATCCGCTTCATCAGAGAGGAACGACCCGATGCCTCTCTGATTCATCTGATCCTTCTCTGATGAAACGGACTGAAATGTTCGCGAAACGTCGGAATCAAACAAAGATGAATGCACGCGGCTCAAACCCGGAAATCAAATCTAATATGCATGGACACCGAGAAAGCCTAAAAAATCAAATTTATCTGATCTTTTATACACAAAAATATTCATGATATAAGTAATTTGTTTTATATTTATTTTAACAGTTCATATATCAATTTCAAAATTGCTTAGCGCAATTCATGTGGCTGTATCTCAGTAGAGAAATGTTTGCGGGTTCATGTTTATGAATTTTATTTTTAATTCTACAATGAAAAAAGTTACCTCTAATATAGCTTAAAGAATTGAAAACATTTTAAACTATTATTAATCCTACTTTCTTACTTTCCTAATTTAAGATCTATAAGTTTCTACTATTATATCATTATTTAAAACAAAATTATTTGCAATATTAACGAGCACAATGATCGTCTCCAGGATATCAATCGTCAAATAATCCGTACTTCGGTGCCACCATCGGTCGAGTCGCAAATCGTATCGGGAAGGCGACTTTCGTTGTAGACGGTCAGCGCTATCATGTGTCGAAAAACATAGGTGAGGACAGTCTTCATGGCGGTACTCACGGTTGGAGTATGAAAGTATGGAACGCCACAGTAGAGGAGGATCGCGTGGTGATGACCCTAATCAGTCCAGACGGTGACGAGGGCTACCCGGGGACGGTAACAGCTATGGCTACCTTCCAATTGAACGACGATGGAGAATTGTGTATAAAGATGAGAGCTACCTCCCCGAAGGCGACACCGATCAACTTGACAAATCACGGCTACTTTAATCTTGCTGGACACGTACGTAGCGCATTCCTCTTTAATTCAGCGCGAAAAACAAAATATTCATCTTGAAAAAGATCCGTGAAATTTTCTCCCATAGCCAGCAGATACCTTATTTACGTTTAAAAGACTAGAACGAGCTAGAAAACGTAGCATAAATAACGAATAATGCGAGCACTATTAGTTGCTTCGAAATTTTTATATAAAAATTATCAGAACTTTTTTACACTAAACATTGTATAAGAAAGCTTTAAGCAATCTCGCGAATATAGTTCTATTATAATCGCGCATCGCCGGTATTAAATTCTACTTTATAATAACTTCTTCCGCTTTTGAGAACGTAACTGATCCATCAATCAAAGAGTTTTATCACATGTCATTATTTATAAGTATATTTTACAGACTACGAATGCGGCGGAGTTGTATAAACACGTGTTTACATTCAATGCGGATCGCTGGACCGTCACAGATTCGGGCAGTATTCCTACCGGCGAAATACGATCAGTCGAGAACAGCGTGATGGATCTCAGGAACGCTACCACGCTTGGCGATGTTATCGACAAAGTTCCAGGTGGTGGTTACGACTACAATTTTTGCCTGCCGATACCACACGACAATAGGAAGATCAGTTTCGTTGCTAAAGTGGTGCATCCAGGCACAGGAAGGCGTTTAGATGTGTACTCGAATCAACCCGGTGTACAATTTTATACATCCAATTCCCTACCCGAGAGAAACAATACGGCTGTTATAGGCAAAAACGGAGCGCAGTACTTTAAGCATGCCGCTTTCTGTTTGGAAACGCAAAATTATCCCGATGCTATAAACAATGTAAGTATTTCTAAGAAATAGTTACAATTCAATAAGAGCCGATAATTTGCCGTAAACAAGCGCATTTAATCTTATCACATCAATTTCACCATAGTATGATATAAATTACAAATGAAAATAAAATATAAATAATATACACATATAACAGAAGTACATATTGAGATTTGAACATGGATCTCAATTGATACTATAGCTCTAATTTATTTTGGTAATCACAGTGTTTAATTATATAATAATTTTACATTACCCTTTGCAGAGGAATTTTCCTAACAGCGTACTGCGACCAGGGGATATATATGAGCACATTGTTATATATAAGTTTGGAGTGGATAATTAACATATGGATTCTTCACTTAATTAATACTACAAATTATAAACTGGAAAATCAAATAAATATTAACTAATAAAGGATATTCTTAATTATTTGTAGTGTTATGATTATGTTGACAAAATACATTTAAATACATATGATCTAATTATATTGCTAAATTTAACTATTTATCTTTATGTAATATGAAGTATAAATCTATATATTCAGACTTTTGATAAATATTATAATTTTATTTTATTATATATAATTAACAAAATACAATGTAAAACTTACATCTAATTAGACAGTGATGGTGAAAGATTAACTTCTAAGGGATTGTGTTTCTTCTTAGTAGTAGAAGAATCTAAATTTTCCAATAATCTTTCCTGCCGTTGTTGCGTAACAGGTACTGTTGGAGGTGTATAACGATCAGATATCCAACCTTCCACATTGTATCCAACATATCCAATAACAGCCACAATAGGAAGTGTAAGGTATTTACCAAATTGGCCTAAGGATCTCAATACTAAAGGCCACATCTTTTTTAGTAATGTAACTACAACAGAAATAAAATTTTTTAATAAAAAATTACAATTAATACTAGTAAAAATGTGCACTCTTTATGTAAATGTTTATATATGCAATATTATCTAGACATTGATATAAGATTATAATATAAATTTTGCTGAAAGTAGTAATAGAATAAAATAAAATATAAAACTATGTATAAATATGAAGAAAACTTTTAAAAATTATCTAAAAGTATTGCTATCATTACCTATAGAATATTATCTCGTGCAAATTTGACTATTTTTCACGAATCTGATGGTAAATTCGACTGAATGTGCATTAAGGCCGGTATTATAGTTCATTCTTATGTATAAAATCGTTTTAAGGTCATTCTACAATTGCATAAGTGTGATCGTAAGTAGTGTAAATATTTGCGACACTACTAAAAAAAAGCCGTGTTCCGTTTTACGTATATGTGCGCAATTATCTATAATTATGTCACGTATACTGTAAAGCCTATTCTACAATTGCGTGAACGTGGTTGTAAGTAGTTGTAAGTGATTACGACGGGTGTATATCAGTTGGACACGAGGCAATTGGACACAGTCCAATCACAAGTCGCTGTTCCAAGGGACCCTACAAATGTATCTAATCACACGGTGCTGTGATTGGCTGTGTCCAAATGCACCGTGTCCAAGTGCACCGCTCCCATTACGACACCGGGTGGGACTCGATTGACCACGATACGATTGGACACAGATTGTAATGATTGGTTCGACCTAGTAATTCACTAAATAATTCTTTTTATCGGTTGGTTGTGTCCAATCGTACCGTGGTCAATCGGAACACATCCCTACGACACCCAATCAGAGTAAAGCCCATTCTACAATTGCGTAGCATAGTCGTGAACTTAAGAGTCAACCAATCCGAATGTTTTATTCACTGATTGCTTTACTCTGATTGGTTGTCGTAATCACTTACAACCACTTACATCCTGTTCACGCAATTGTAGAATGGGCTTAATAAAAGCGTGAAACGGAAAGCAGCCTAATGGCTCCTGCACACAGGATAATGCTTGCCGCGCGACGAAAGTTCGCGCGACAGCCAATCAATATGCTGCTTTCCGTAATAACCTTCTAGCTCTTACGGAAAAATAACATATTGATTGGCTGTCGCGCGAACTTCCGCCACGCGGCAAGCATACCGCGTCCTGTGTGCAGGAGCCATAAGAATCAATTAAGCTGATGGCACATAGAAAAACTTAAACAGTAAAACGTAAGCAGTAAGCAAATTGACCAATCACAGTCATTGATTCTTCTTACGGTCCAAGAATCAACGACTGTGATTGATCAATTTGCTTATTGCTTACGTCTTACTGCTTAAGTTTTTCTGTGTGCCACGGCCCTTAATTAGAGTGTTTTATTTACTGATTGCTTTATTCTGATTGGTTGTCGTAATCATCTACAACTATTTACAACTACATTTACGCAATTGTAGAATGGCCTTTAGATTTATTTTCATATGGCTTCTGCACGGGAGCGATGCACTTGGACACGGTGCATTTGGACACAGCCAATCACAGCACCGTGTGATTAGGACATTTGTAGGGTCCCTTGATACAGCGACTTGTGATTGGACTATGTCCAATTGCCCCGTGTCCAACTGATATACACCCTCCTGCACACAGGACGCGATAATGCTTACCGCGCGACGGAAGTCCGCGCGACAGTCAATTAATATGTTGTTTTTCCGTAAGAGCTAGGAGGTTATTACGGAAAGCAGCATATTGATTGGCTGTCACGCGAACTTCCGCCGCGCAGCAAGCATTACCGCGTCCTGTGTCAAGAGCCAATAGGCCTTCTACAATAATGGAGGATTCACACTGCGTTCGATATCCGATATACGACATCCGATATCCAATAGAAGAATTGGTTTTTTGGAGACAAAAAAAGTCGCTAGCTAGACACTCTAGTAAAGAAACTCTACTATTGGATAATGTTTCGTCGTACATCGGATGTCGTCGCAGTGTGAATCCTCCATGAATCTTTCATATTTTCTCAACGTAGGTCACCAATATAAGGGAGAGTTCTTTTCCGGTCGAAAACCTCCTAGTGGCATCTGTTAACGTAAGACTTGTGATATTTTTTTATAATTTTGTATATTTTATATGTAAAAAATTAGACAAACTAGAAAAATTTTAAATAGTAGCTATTTTAAGATATTATTTTTGATAAAATCTGCTCTAATAATAGTTTTAAACGTTGATTTATGAATATGCTCGTCGAGCACGTGGCATTTTTTTATAGCTTAGCTCGTTATATGTATATTTAAACTTAATTATTGAAAATATAAGCTACAGTAGGAAGGTTTTCAATATACTCTAGTTAATATTTATATAAATATATTTTTAAATGAGTTGGGAATTTTTATTGTTCACGATCTCGAGGTTATATTGGACTACTTTTGATATATGAATAAAACCTATAGTAAAAAAATGATTTCAAGAATAAAATCTGTAAAGATATTTTAAAATTTAATAAATAGTTTAATAACAAAATATAAGAAATTGTAACTTAGAAATAAAATTCTTCTTCAGGTTAAATCGTAATTCAACCAAAACGTTACAATGTCAGGGGGTTTAGATGTATTAGCTCTTAAAGAGGATGATGTTACCAAGTTATTGGTTGCTTCTGCCCATCTGGGTGCAGAGAATGTCAACTTCCAAATGGAGCGATATGTCTATAAAAAAAGAGTCGATGGTAAGTGTTTAATAGATTCTCTTCCTAGTACTAGTCCTAATTCTTTTATACATCAATTTTTTTAACTTAGCATTCTATATTCTGCAGGTGCAGGTATGAATATAATTGATATTCGCCATACCTGGGAGAAGCTGTTGCTTGCAGCTCGTGCTATTGTCGCCATTGAACATCCTAGTGAAGTCTTTGCAGTTAGTTGTCGCCATGTGGGTCAAAGAGCTGTACTCAAGTTTGCAGCTCACACAGGTGCTACTCCTATCGCTGGACGTTTCACTCCTGGTGCATTTACTAATCAGATTCAAGTATGATAATGTCAACCATGCCTTGCACTTAATTAAATATAAATTAATGATAATGCTTTTTGGTCTGAAATCAGCATTCCTTGTTTTTCATTGGCTTGATCTTTTTGAATTATTTACAGAGATATCTTACAAAATTAAGATGTTTTTTTAAGTATCTTCATTTTCTCCCTATTTATTACATGATGAAACAATAGAAACCAGAAAAAAATCTGTTGGTTATTTTATGGCTTAATCTTTTCTGATGAAGGACCAATGCTTCTTATTGCATGTTTACCAATAAGTGCACCTACACAACTCTATTTTTGTTTTGCAGGCTGCTTTTCGTGAACCGCGTCTTCTGGTTGTCACGGATCCGTCCACTGATCACCAGCCCATTACTGAAGCAAGCTATGTGAACATTCCTGTGATCGCCTTCTGCAATACTGATTCACCACTACGCTTTGTAGATATTGCAATTCCTTGTAATACTAAAAGCGTACTTACTGTTGGTTTGATGTGGTGGCTTCTCACCAGGGAAGTCTTACGGCTAAGAGGTTCCATTCCACGTGAGACTAAGTGGGATGTAATGGTAGATCTCTTTTTCTATAGAGATCCTGAAGAGGTTCGTAATCATAATGATTTATCTCATTTCTTGCCTTTTATCTTTTTTCTTTCAAATCTTCTCTAGTTTTCTTTATATTAATTGATAAGGTGAACCAACAGAAATAAATACAAAAATGAGAAACTAATCCATTACTCTTAAGGATTTGATCTTTTGATTTTAAGGTGAAAAAGTGTTTGATGTACATATGTAACCAATAAAAATATGCGTGATACATTGTTTTTTTTTTTCGTTTTTTTTCTAGGCTGAGAAGGAAGAACAAGCGGCGAAAGAGATCGCGCCAAGTAAAGAGTTCACGAGTACTACAGTCGAAGCTGCAGCACCTGCACCAGAACCTGGTTGGGCAAACGAGGTTGGGGAAACAACTGCTGTGACTACGGAGAACTGGGCTGATGACGTGGCACCACCAACGGCTGCTACCATTCCCGTAGCTACTACTGCACAATCCTTTCAACCAAGTGGTGATTGGGCTGCACAGGTAAACATGTATTATGTAATCATTAATATTTATATGTACATTATTAGTCAATATTAAGTTTTGTGTAATAATATTAATTAAATAATTTTCACGTGAATGATTTTTAACTGGAATTATCATTTACTCAGCCTCAAGAGGAATGGTCAACACCTGTAGCGACTGCCCCTGCCCCTGCCCCTGCCCAGAGCTGGGGAGGTGCGAGCAGTGAAAAGTGGTAATCTTGATCTTTCTGACGTTATCTTATAAATAACGACGAAATGTTTTGTAAACTGTTTCTAACAGGACTTTGAAAAGAAATTGTCTCTTTTTTATACTTAATCCTAAATGCACATATCCTGTGTACTTCTCCAACTTACAAAATAGAATATAGATCCCATTCCCCTAAAAATATTTTTAAAAATTCTGGAAATTCTCTTTCTCTGGCTGATAAATACACTCGATTGTAGTCATCCAGTTATTAGATAATATATGAACATCACTTTTGCAATATATTAGTCATTCTAGTATTAGTCATTATAGTAATGTATTGTGCAAATTCTCTAAATGAAATGATTTAAATCTATTTTTCAGTTATCTCAATATAATTAGATGGTTAATCATCATATTCCAAAAGTGTGCCAAACTTTTCTCATCTTTTGATTCTATTACCAATAAAGAAAAGGTATAGAGTTTTACATATTATAGTTAATGTGCATAAACTGTAATAAAAGGACAAGAAACGAGCGGCAGATTTAAGAGTAAAGGAGAACATGTTTCTGATTAAAATAAATTTTATGCTATAATTAAAATAACTAGACATGCTTCTGAAGTATGTATTGTTTACAAAGCTAATTTGACTTAACATAAATATATCTTTTTATGCATATATATATAGAAATATAATTAATATGGTATTAATACTATTAGCGGTAGCTGGCTATTGAAAAAAAGTTAATCATCGGAAAACTGCGATTACAACGTTCCGCATTATCTTTTACATGACTAAATATAACAGATCACAAATTGTATCTTTCATAAGCAAATTGCTACATTGGAATGTAAACATATGAGTAAAAAATATCCTAAGATTACATGTGGTAAAATGCAACCGTTGAATGACAAAAATCAACAATAAAATAAAATATTACGAATCGCAATAGGTTTACAGAGCGCACAACAATTAGATGTATTATACTACTATGCAAATACACAAAAGGAATGAGGCTGTTAATTAGCTTATTCATCAGTAATCCACACTCAAAGCACTCAGGCCTTTCTTCTTGATAGCTTCTGCCACGGCGCGCTCTAGGAAGTCTTCTGGCTGATCACTGTCATATATTTTGTCTTCGTCTGAGTTAGACACATTGCATCTTCCCATTTCTACAGAATTGCTTAATCTCGGAGGATTTGAGGACATTGTGGGTAAAGTAGTTGGCAAGTCCCTGATATCCTGTATATGATTGGATGGAAAGGAACAATGTACACCTATGTAATCACTATCGGTCCGATAGTCCGGGATCTTATCATCATGTGACTGAGAAACAGAATCAACTGACTGGACTAAGCCATAATTACGAATTGCCATCATCACTGCTGTGTCTTCCATGTCATTTTCTCGGAAGAAACGAAACAATCCCTCAGTAAGATCTTCTTCCAGACAATCAAGTGCTGTTATCATATTGCAATCCTCTAAAACTTTGTTGACAGTATTGTCCATAGTTCCTTTGGCAGCTTGAAAAGCCTGCCATCTCTTGAGCTTTTCTCTTGCATGTCTTTCTACCTCGTCATAGTCATTATTCTCTAAATTATCTTCCATCATCTCCATGTTTACATTCATGTGTTGCTCCTAGAGCAATAATAATGTTTTTTATATACATCTTGTGGTTATATATATTGTTTTACAAAATACAAAAAATATATATAATGCATCAGAACATGTTATAATGTAAATTTTATAACAAAATAATATGTTATTGGAAAGAGCCAGAAATCGATAATATAGTTTATCAACAAGTAGAAAAGTCATATTTATTTGCTTAATTATCAATGAACATGATTGATGGGAATAATGGAAAAATCACAAATATCATCATGTCATTTCTACGATAATTACCGTATTCCAACAAGTTTCATTGACCTTGGACAAATGCGTGCACTGCCGCTTAGGCGGAATAGGTCTCTCATGTTCGTCCGTATCAGACTCCTCAACGTCGGTCGCCATTGTCTCTATAATTCTTGCGAATTTTCGTCAATGTATCTTCCTCGGCGTCATTCACAGGTTTTCTCGATTCTTTCAACTTCAACGAAGATATATTGAGACAGTCGTCGAAATTAATGACATTTTTGATAGTGCAAAAATTTAATATGATCACGGAGCTTCAATTCACCCAACCCATTGTCGACAATTATTTACAGCAAGGAACATAGCGAAACATGCGGAATTGCACGCAATAAACGACAGTGCGATTCTTAACTAACCTAAAAACTGACACTCGTACCCATCGTGCAGAATAACGATCGCGAATGTACGCGTCAAACTCAATCGGACCAAGACGACGTGGACCCAAAAAATCTCAAAAATCAACAATATCTTTTAACTAATACTTCATGTATTACAGAGGATTCACACTGTATCCGATACTTGATGCACCATACCGAACAGCCAATGAAAAAGTTCACATTCTAGAGACAAAATATCACTAGTTGGAATTCCTAAAGAATGAATTCTCCCATTGGATATCGAAACATCATGCATTAGACATCGACGCAATGTGAACTCTCCATAGCATTTGGTAATTGTAAAATGGCAGCTACTACGATGATTGTTTGACATATTGAAAAAGCAATAAACGAAAATGTTACAGGATGTGATACGAGCACTCGATATAACCTCAAAAATGACAGTCACGCAAGAGGAATTTTCTAAATATATTGCAATTCTCATTATGAATACGTACTGGTATGCTTTTGACTAGACTTCTGACCGTGTAAAAATGGCGTGAACATGTGTTCACGGTTCTCGATGGCGATCTGATTGGATTTGACGTCCGACCTGTCAAGCGAGACCCGCTCTGGCATTACGTGCCGATTAGGATTACAATTTTTGCATCAATTATCCTTAATCAGAGTATATTATAATATGGCGATCTGTGGTGAATATATCCGTAGTCAATTTCCGACGATAGATGACGATCTGTATCAATATGTGGAAAGTATGTTTCGTAAAATAACCTAAGAAAGCCTTGCGCAAGATTGCTTGGTTTCATGCGACACCGCGAGAACTGTTCTTTAATGCATATATTCTCGTGTATAAAGGTATCCTGGACAGTTCCAAGGACGACTTCGAGGACGGCGACGAAGTGTATGAGGCGATAGGCGAGGTATTACATGAGGTGGCGGACAAGTCAGAAATCGAGGTTAGGTCTGTAAATATGCATTCGCATTTGTTATCTCCTTATTATGTTCACGGTGTGTTTATCCATCTGTTCAAACGCACGAAGATTTATCAACGTGTAAAAAGTTGAACGCGGTTGCAAGAATCTCAGAATGGACCTTTGTCTTCTTCATAGTGTAATCGGCACAACTGAAGCTAATTGTAATCTTGTTCTTTATGTACAGACAAATATGCGTGAAATTATTAGAGTTGTTAAAAGGTAGTACCAATGACGATAACATAGAAAGGAGAAAAAACGGTGTTAATAAAGTATTGAATGCTCCAGTACATTTGGGTGCTCTGGCTGCTACCTTAGAGGCTCAAGTTGAACAAATTAAGAGTATATGGGTCACAACTAGAGACGATGCAATGGTAACATCGATTTATTAAGTTTGTTTTAAATAATGTATATGAGTGTTAAATTATACTATTTAGTTGTATATTTTCTTTTATATTGCCTGCATATACAACATGTACAAGTATCAATTATATGTAATTTTATTTATTTATTAATAGAAAGTAGATGCTAAGAAGTTAGAGAAAGCTGAGGCTAAATTGCAACAAAAACAAGAGAAACGAATTGTAAATGAGCAAGGGTCTGCTGGACGTATTAATACTGCCAATAATGTGTCTGAATCAAGTGCTAGTGCCAGCCAAATGACAAGTAAAAAGGACAGTCGAATGGAAACTAAAGGCAATGTCAATAAAACTCAAGATATCAGAATAGAGAATTTTGATGTCGCATATGGTGATAGAGTATTGCTGCGTGGTGCTGACTTAATGCTTGCATTTGGTAGACGATATGGTCTAATAGGTAGAAACGGACTCGGCAAGACTACGTTACTTCGAATGATATCTAGGTATTATCACACAATCACTTATTTACATTCACGAATAATATATTTATTATAAAATTAATTGATTAGTGTTCATAAAAACTGGTAATTTTAAAAAAGTGCTAGTTGTTGGAATCGCGGAATTAATTTTTATTGTAACACATTTAATTAATTAATGCAGATAAGATAAATTTTGTTTGATTTATAGCAAACAACTGAGAATACCATCACACGTGCGAGTGTTGCACGTCGAGCAAGAGGTGGCCGGTGACGATACGTCCGCGTTGGAATCTGTATTAGAGTGCGATCAGGAACGTAGTACATTACTCAGTCAAGAGACCAAGTTACAAACGATGATAGAGAAGGAAAACGGTTCGAAAACGGCAGATACATTAGGCGAAGAATTGACTCGGGTGTACGAGGCGATGCAATTGGCCGAGGTCGACAAGGCTCCTGGCAAAGCAAGCGCAATCCTGTCAGGACTCGGATTTCCTGTGGAAAGGCAGTCTTGGCCGACCAAAGCTTTCTCCGGCGGTTGGCGTATGAGATTGGCCCTTGCCAGAGCTTTGTTCTCCAAACCGGATTTGTTACTACTTGACGAACCGACGAACATGCTGGACATCAAGGCAATACTTTGGTTAGAAAAGTACCTACAAACGTGGCCAAACACGTTACTCGTAGTGTCGCACGATCGAAAGTTTTTGGATACGGTACGTGTATTTATTTTGCAATTATCTCCGTGTGAAAGATATATTCATTTAAAAAAAAATTTACCGTTAATATATTTCATACTGACATTCAAATCATGTTTTGAGTACTATATAGTTTCCTGTATGAACAAAAATAGAAAAGAATGTTACATAAATACACATTTGCAAATAAAAACAAATTACAATGACAATATCATTTTGCTGAATTTTCCATTATAAAATTCTTTGAGAACAAAGATTATTTCGGTTGTATAAAGTTGTGTAATAAGCTGATATCAGTACTGATATCAATGCTGATACAAGTGACATTAATCACCTTTAACGACTTGAAGTAATAAACACGGGGAAAAAACATGAATAAACAGATTAGATAATTATCGCTGATTTTGCGTCATAATGTATCAACAGCAAATTTCTTTTTTTTTTCGTATTTGATATTTCTACGGCACCTTTGGATGCATGTTTGTATACAATTTTCTTTTTATTTCGATTGTAGAACATACATTAACATAGATTGATTGTTTAACTTGCAAGCGCAGCACGTATATCACATCTATGTGAAATATATATTCAATATATTTTTGCAACATTATTTATGATTATTTATCGTCTATGTGTTTATCTCATATCTTTTATCTTTCTTATAGGTACCGACCGATATTCTGTATTTGCGCGGGCAGAAAATAGAGGCATATCGCGGCAATTACGAGCAATTTGTGAAAACGAAAGGTGAACGTGAAAGAAATCAACAACGAGAATACGAGGCTCAACAGGCAAAGAGAGCGCACGTACAGGAATTCATCGACAAATTCCGCTACAATGCGAATCGTGCCGCCAGTGTACAAAGCAAGATTAAAATGTTGGAGAAGTTGTAAGTGTACTTTATGTAATTAGATGTAATCAACACGACAGGAGTCTTTTGTCTCCACTATCGAAATACATTTTCTTTTTAATTTTATTTAAACTCTGTTTCTCCGCAGGCCCGACTTGAAGCCGGTCGACAAAGAAAACGAAGTGACCCTGAATTTCCCCAATGTGGAGCCATTGAGTCCCCCCATATTGCAACTCGACGAGGTCTCTTTCAGTTACAACGGAGGGGTCGACGTAATATTTAGTAACGTAAACCTTACCGCCAACTTACAATCGCGTATCTGCATCGTCGGTGAAAACGGGACGGGTAAGACCACCCTCTTAAAAATCATCACAGGCACGTTGAATCCGACACGCGGCACGGTGCACGTTCATCGCAATCTGAAGTTCGGATACTTCAGTCAGCATCACGTTGATCAACTAGACATGCGTATTTGTCCCGTTGAACTATTGCAAAGGCATTTTCCCGGTATGTTTTGGTAATGTATATAAGCGTACCATTTTATAAAATAATTATTAAATCGTATAAGTTAAATTGATTTGGCATATTTTTTTCTAGGAAAACCGATCGAAGAGTATAGACGGATGCTCGGAAGCTTCGGAATAAGCGGCAATTTAGCTCTACAAACCATCAATTCTCTTTCGGGAGGACAAAAATCCAGAGTAGCGTTTGCCTTGATGTGCGCCGCAATGCCGAATTTCCTAGTGCTCGATGAGCCCACGAATCATCTTGATATCGAGTCAATCGAAGCGCTGGGTAAAGCTCTCAATAAATGCCAGGTGAGTGCTCATTCTACATATTTCGTTTGTGTAAACTCTTCCCGTTTAAAAAATTCATATTGTATGTTTTTGTGTAACTTATTTTTATTATAGGCTGGTGTAATCTTAGTGTCTCACGATGAACGTTTGATTCGAATGGTTTGTACAGAACTGTGGGTATGTGGAGGAGGATCCGTTCGATGTATCGAAGAAGGTTTCGACGAATATCGCAGAATTATCGAAAGAGAGCTTGAATTATAAAAATTTGATTTTTTAAATGTGATATTGTCATCTTTCGTTATCTTCTATCGAGTAATACATTGTTATAAAATTTTAGAAAAGCTCCATTGTTTCAATTAATATCATAATGCAACTATTATCTATTTTATCATAAATATTTACTTTTCTTTCGAAATATTTCATCGCCAAAGGTATCTTATTTATTTCTTAGATGCTTTTTTGTGAAATATATTAAAACATTAGCGATTATTAATTGTATATGTACGTTTTATTTATCAAATTAACAAATATCTGGTAATTATAAAATGCAAGTTTTAGCATTGCGCGACTTTACTATAATAAATTATTTATTTTTCCCTCAAGAACTTTAAATTAACATGCTATAATTTGACTGTGAATTCAAGTAGATTGGACGATCGAGCATGGAAATTTTCATATTTAATACTATAATCTATTACGAAGAAAAGTAATAAAAAATATTGTTGTTAGATAAAGAAGGCTCTATTTCATTTAAAAGTATATTATATCTTTACTACTTCCCTACATATAAACATGAAAAAGGCATGTATTTCTTACTATACAATAACATATAACAATTATTTTTAAATCAACGATTCGCTGCTGCAATTGTTTATTAATATTGAAAAATAAGTTACAACAACTTTACATTTTGGCCCTTGTAACATTTAAACAAATAATTATCTGATGCATTATTATACATTGATACAATGAGTTATGAATTAATGATTTTTGTGATTTCGGTAAATTTTATAGAAGTGTAAGAAAAATATAATACAGTGATTAAGAAGTTTAAATGAGAATGCTGTTTTTCAGAGCTAAAGTAAATGTTCCTTTCATTTTAATATCTTTTACATTTCTGTTAGGTAACAGGCCTAGAATTTCTAACGATCTTTCTTTTCTTTATGTATAAGTATAATCTATATTAAATAGATTTCTCCTAAGATAAACTGTACAGAAAATATTGTCTAAAACATTTTATTGTAAAACTGAGCTCACACACACGAACTCAGGATATTTCACACACTCTCTAATGCTTATACTTCGCGATTCATCCTTTCCCTGCTCATCTAATTTAACATTTTATTGTGGCAGCATCGAGAAGTTTTATATATATTATATATCATAATCAATGCACGAAGCAATGATTTAAGTATACACAGAGGTTTCTTTTCAATATGCCAGAGAGGTCGCATTATGTTGCCACTGTTTACTTCCAGACGAAGTATTTAACGAATGCAGTGTATTAGGGGTAGAAGATGATTGAAGAGGTGGAGCTGGAGCTTGTTGCTTTGCTGCTGTAATTTTGGAAACATCACGATTATTGTTCCTCTGATAACAACAATATACGCTCTTATCTACTTACAATAGGTATGCATGCAGAAAATAGCAAAAAATGCGACATGCAGGTTTAATTTATTGTATGTAAGCAATTAAACATGAATTGTTATGTCATACATATATTTCGATATTTATTACTATGTATTTTTGATGGTACAGGAGGCGGGGAAGCAGCATCAGCAGAAGGGGTAAGTATCATATGAAAAAAATCTTCGAATGGCATCATAAAAAAAGAAGTATCTCATCTGTAATGTATCGTGTGAGAAATCGTGTTAGCAAATTGCATGTATAGTATACACGGGATCAAGATATAACTGAAAAATGTGTTATATAAACGTGCAGTATTATATGAACAGCAACTGTATTTAGTCCTAAGAGAAAAAAGCACAATTCTTTCATTATAAAAGAAGCATGTGTTCTGCTAAAGCGAAAAACGCGTTTTGTCGTTTTCTCTCACCATTCCTGCTGCTGTAGACTTTAACAAAACCCTTGAATGGCTCCGGATGCGGGAAACTCGACATGACGTGAAACATATCGGCGAAACGCATCTCCAAGTCAACAGAATTCGTATTTGACTGACCGTTGCGCACCGACAAACTCCTGGTGGGTGGAGTTGGCGGCGGCGGCGGCGGAGGTGCCAATCTCTGATGCGTGGGTGCGGGCCGATGCGGGAGCGGCGGCGGCGGCGGGGGTATACACGGTGCGGTAACCGTGACCCTCGACGGCGGCGGCGGCGCTGCTCTCGTAGCGGTCGTAGGCATGGTATTCGCTCGTGAAGTCGGTGGCGACGGGGGTCTAGCCACGGGCGGCCTGAGAACCCGACTCACCGTAGTTCTCGCCGGCTGCGCAGTCTCGTTTAAACAGTCCTGCGATTGATGTAAAGACGACGGCGTTGGTACCAAGACCGGTGACGAACGAGGCAATCTCATGCTTTGTGCCCGCGACACACTTGTGCTGCTCGTTAGATTCAGCTTTTTAGGTGGCGGCGACGGTTTCTGCAAGGAGGGAGACGCTGCTGGTTTAGGCACGATAATCGATTTTCCGAGTCCTCTAGGCATGGTGTCCGCGTTGGTCATCGCAGAATCGGTGGTACTTTGACTTTGCTGCAAATCAATAATCTTACAGATACATGGTTGAGTCTTAAATGATTAAGGCTCGTGGATTTTTTTTTTACAAGATTCCCACTATTGCAGAATCCTGTAAAATGCTCCAAGAATTATTCTTTTCCCTTGATAGTCAATAGCCTTAAAATAAACGTAAAAAAATCATGAAAAAAGATAAGTAAAAGATAAATAAAAGAGGAAAGCTGCATGTTAATTTTAAAGTTGTTTATTGACTATCAAGAAAAAAGAATAGTTTGCATTTGCAGAGTATTTTACGAGTGTGCTCAAATAATTTAAAGTATTCTTTTATGCAAATATTTTTTTTTATTTGATAATGGCACACAAGAATTTTTGGCATGAGTTTTCTCGTTTTTGACAATCCAGGATTCTGGAACAGTGGGAGACCAGGAACCTCAATACTTATCTCTACCAACATCAATTAAACCTTAATTTTAACATTTAAATTCTCCAGAAAGAGACTCAAACTCAGGTTGAAGTTTAATTGAATACAAGCAGGCATAAAGTGATTCTAATTTTTTTTATCTACCTGACTGTATACTTGTGGTTTCTGTGTAGCTGGTGGCGGGACTGGTGGTGGACCACGCTTTATGCTGTGAGACGATCCAGGTGACGAATGAAGGAAACTAGGATTATTTACATTATGTCCGTTCTTCTCTGTCGTATTACTTCTTAATCCAATAGGTTTCAACTTCGGCATACCACTTGCAAATAAACCACCAAGCTGCATGGGTCCTCCATTACTAGAGTAACTGCTGCTGTTGGAATTATTATTTCCACTGTTATTATTAAATGAAGAGCTGGTTGATTCACCTTTTACTCTTCCTGAAACAAATAATTACAAATATAAGTATTTAAAAATTCCTCCTTTATAGTTCTTTTTTATATAGCAAAATATTACAGAATCTTCAAATTGATATAATACCATTAATTAGTCAATACTTTATATCGATATAATTTATCTTATAATTTACCAGCAATAGCAGGTGTACTTTTATCCACAGTAACAGTCTTTTTCAAAGTTTTGCCTGCTCTTATAGATTGCAACAACAAATTCCTGTTGTCTCCTGCCGGTGGACCAGAAGAGTTGAATTGCAGAGGTGGTGGTGGTGGTGGTGGTGCAGGCATTTTCATTCACCCGCTGCAAAGTATAACAATGCTATAATTCTCTATCAATATTCAATTGAAAAAACATTGTACGGATCACAGTTTTTCATAACGAGATTTTAAATGTCAAAGTATAACGAATATTTATACGAGATTTATTCTTAATCCCATAAACACGATAAGAACAATCTCAGATCGTCCTACCGGGATGTGTCATTCGCTGTGAGGTCATTTCGTTTTTGGATAAGCAGATTAAACGATATTTCGATCACAGCGACTAGCGTATCTTTGCTAATAAAACCACACTCTCTTTGCAGCTTTTGATAAGATTTTCCCGTCGGATTTAAATGTTGAAATTATTCACGCAGGTGAGGGGGACACTCCTTGAAACGTGACAGTACGAGAACACACCTCATACATAAAGGCAGTTTATCTCTACCGCACGATTGCAATTGCGTACGCGCGCGCGCATTGAGATTCGTGTTTAATTCTACCAGGATGCGGCCAATTACCGGATTAAACGGGTCGCAGCTGTATTTATGTCCGAAGGCAGGACTCGCGGGCAATGACACTCATAATTGAGAGGGGCCTGGCGGATCCGACTGTGATCCAACTGCGACATGGATCATGGCGTCATCAGGTCCATCGAAGTTGGGGGTCCGTGAACACGCCGCGAACGACGAAATCGCGAGACGTGTATAGAGCGAGTGTCTGCAATACGCCTCTGGTTCGCAAAAGTCGTGATCACGGAAGATGTCGCGGATACGCGTATCTAGAGATAAAAGTTGAAGGTGTGCGTAAGCCAACACACTTACATGCACACACATTAACCCATACATACGTGTCACTAACTCACGAGCGCGTAAAACAAACGCGAGGAGATAACAAGACTTATTTATATTTGAAAAGTTCTTTGCGGTCTTCCTTCCTTTTCTCGTATCTGCGTTGATATAAAAATCCATTCTGAATTTACCACTGATATAATTATTCATCGAAGAACTTACTTCGATACAGAGTAGATTTTTATTTTGTATTAAGTATAAAATTGAAAGTGATTTATATAAGTAATGTCGTAATATTAAATTAGCTAATAGAAAATTAATTTTTTAATCGATAGTTAAACATATAACAAATATTTTAATATAAATATTTTAATATAAATATTTGTGTTTTTAATTCTCTCTGGAAATGTTCAACGGAAAGTAGAATTTTCTTTCTAGAAACTCTAGCTAGTATTAATATTAGTGACTTTCTTGCTTCATAATGCAATTCTTCTATTGGATATCGAACATGAATGCAATGTAAATCCTCCACAATATTCTTGAAACTTGTTGAAGGATGTTTCCACTCTATATTCTTGTATTCAATGTTCATTTTGAGAAAGAGGTTAAGAAACTCTTAAAACTCAACCTTTCGTATCGAGGACGTATTAACGGCCTGTACGTGTCACGCGGAGAATCTGTAATTTTTACAACAATCAGTAATATAACAAGCGTTGCATGCAAAGTAATTAATCATTGATAGTTTTTGAAAGTATAAAAATACAATATTTTCGAAAACGAAACATTAGCAAGTAATTCGTAGTCAAAGTGACTTAGATTGTGGCTATTGTTTCAGGTTACTAAACAGAACTTAAAATGTCCATCCGACCGGTATATCGACCAAAAATTGTGAAGAAAAGAACAAAGAAATTTATCAGACATCAGAGTGATCGATATGATAAACTCAAGGTATGTAAATTTCTTTTCACTTTGTTATTTATACAAGCATACTTATAAGGTTATATTATCTCTATGTTATTGATTAAATGTTAATTTTTATGTGTACTACATAGTGAGAAGAATTATATTGAATAATATATACAACTATTTTGTTTCATTAATCTTATTTATTTAATTTTTTAGCGCAACTGGCGTAAACCAAAGGGTATTGATAACAGAGTTCGTAGACGATTTAAGGGCCAGTATTTGATGCCTAACATTGGTTATGGTAGCAACAAGAAAACACGTCATATGCTACCAACTGGCTTCCGCAAAGTTCTTGTACATAATGTAAAGGTAAATTTTATTTTTATATAAAAACTTCTAATTATATTTATACTCAAACTAATAAACAAAAATGACTAGCAAACTGAGATAATCTAAAAGAATTACAAAATCTGTATTGATAATATAAAAATATCTTGAACAAAATTTTGTGAATTATCTTCATTATGTGAAGAATTAAATAAAATTAGAAAATTATTTTCACTATGTGAAAATCTCACATGTTACTTCTTCATTATTACTTGCAATATTATATAAATATTATTTTTATAACTATAAATTGACAATGTGAAGTACTTTAGAATGAGGTATGAGTAAAGATTAATTTCTTTATAGGAATTGGAAGTTTTGATGATGCAGAATCGCAAGTTTTGCGCGGAAATCGCACATGCTGTCAGCAGCAAGAAAAGGAAAGCTATTGTAGAGCGTGCTCGACAGCTTTCAATACGTGTGACGAATGCCAGTGCGCGCTTACGTTCGGAAGAGAATGAGTAAGCGTGCTTTCCTGTATTTTGGCAATAAAATGTTAAAAACATATCCATACCTCTTCTTGTTTGTCTTGATTCTTCTCACAATTTCTTAGCAGTGTTGCACAGCAAACACTTAGATCTTCTGCATACATATTTCTTAATGTGTGAACGTTGATTGCGTTTAGCAGAGAAAAGTGCTCAATGACCACTTTTCTCTGCTAAATGCAACCATTGTGATATTCTACTCAGATCCTTTGTACAACCAGAAAAAATATAATCTATTTGTTCACTACATGTTGGAAATCACTCTAGAAGCAATTTTTTTATATTTTTCAATAATTAATATAGTATAACATGTATATATAAAAAGTATATTTGTTTCAATGAATTTATTTTTTTACTGGGACTGAAAAGAATATACATACGAGAAGATTAAAAACTTATGAGTTAAAGGTATGTTCAACACAACTGTTTTCGCGTGTTTTCTCAAGTTTTGTTTAATAGTTCTTACATATTTCTTAAGAAGTTATTAATTTCTACATATTTCCATTATCTTATAACTTCAATCTACATTATCCTGAAAAATTAGTTTTACATATCCTGGTGTTCCCTCAAGTGGGACTGCACAGAAGGGACAAATCGCAATATAGCCGTTTGTGCCGTGTGGTATGGCTACTTTCTCCCAATATCTGCAAACATATGAGGAATAATAAATGAGTAACATGCGCATGTACATCAGACAATATCATAAGTATACTTATGATATTGAATTTTATAAAAAAAAAAGAAAGCGAGAGATGATCATCTGCATTTTAATAAAACTGCTTTAATATAGACATAACTAATGAGTGATTCGCGCATTATACTAACTTGACGGTTTTCTCCGTAGCCATGTGACCGCAGGGACTAAACGCGTAAGTCGGTGGTCCACAGTCTACATAGAAGGCAGGCTCTATTCCCATAGATAGCTTCACAACTGCACCCGCGACCAGGCACATAGGACACCTCCTCGTAACCTTGTCCTTCTCCTGACCCCAATCATGATGTCCCTGCACGTGACCGCACTTGAGATAAACGTATGGCTGTTGTTGTGTCGAATCCGTAGCTGCTTTACGTGGTATGACCAACGTGTTCAGGCCTACCGGACACTGTGGTCTCCCGGCGTTTATAGCGTCCACCAATTCCTCTAGATCCTGTTTGGTCTGCGAAAGGAACACGCGGTGGTGTAATCAGGGAAAATATGATTCTACGTGAAGATACAAGTGGAAAGGAATATAAGTTACTGGAGACTTGGCGAGACCTTCCGCCGATCGCCAAAGCAAAGTGGCGCCACAAAGATCGATGAGAGTACCGTCCTGTAAAATATTGTTCTCATCTTCTACGACGTTGCCTTTTTGCTGAGCACTTCGACTTTCTCTCAGCGAAAAAACTCCACCGCCCACACTAACTTCCCGCCAAAAACCGCACTGCGCCTCTCCGCCGCAAAACTGACCCCGAGGATGCATTATTAAAACTCCGTTCGTTGTGAGCCCATCGATCTCACGGTTTTCTTGCCATTTAGTTGCTTTTTCCTACATAACATCACTCGTAAAATTTCTCTTTCGATACGCTAAAGTATCTTCAGCATGCATTGAAGTGTATACGATCGATCAATCGTAGATTCCGAATCTCACCCCTAAAAAAATGTTTCTCGAACTGTCGAAGCCCGCAGCGTAAATCCTGGCGATTCTCGGGTCTGATCGATCCGCTAGAATTCGACAGGCGAATCTACTGATGGTGCTTTGGGCGACGCGTCCTTCGTTAGCAGAACCGCCATCTCCACCGCCCGCGCACGTATCCATTACCACGAAATCGATAGGTGACTCGGACGAACGGCCGATCTAAGAACACGTTGCTTCATTAGATTTACACGTAGACCATGCTGCGCGAAAAGTCTATTTTGATTATACATAAAGAGCTGAAATTCAAGAGACGAGTCATAAACGACTGTGTTCTCTATTCATAAAGTATTCGTAAAGTCCTTAGGCTTACCTGAAACATGTCTGTCTCCTCGTCTTCCGTGTATTCAACGATAACAGCTTGAGTTCTGGACAGTGTATATGAGATCGAGTGTTGCTTCGTGTTGAGAATGGCTTGCGAGCTATGGGGCGTTTTAACAATGTAGTGCTTACTACGTTTAACACCATTTGGCACTGGTCTTTTGTATAGTACGAATTTACTTCTCCTTCTTCCCCTATCACCAGGTGGAAGGTAACCATTGTATCTGAGTCATGTAGAAGAAAAAAAATTGTGTAATTTACGTTCTACTCGGGTTTCCATTTTTTTTTAGTTTTCTTCACTCGTAAGAAGTTCTTACCCAAGTATAACTAGTTCCCCGTATTTCACTAATTGTTTGGGCTTCTCATGATGATAACTGTGTGACCGATGGGGATTGCTATGTGAATGGCTGTGACTATGCTTATTACGTGGACTGTGCGGTGCGCCGACAGTTTCTCCTTCTTCCACGAGTAACGGACTCTCACTACTACCGCCGTCGGATCTAACACACAATATATGTAAAACATACGATGTAATATAAATCCTCTATGTATACGCACATAGGATGACCCACCACTTTTCCTGATGACATTGCATTCTCTGATGGTATTTGAAGTCTAATCTCGTCATTAATTTTATAAGATAACGCGTGACTTTTATTATGGATTATATATAATTTACTATGGATATTTTTCTACAAGAATACTTTTACTAAGCATCTTAACAATTTATCATCTTATAAAATTAATAATTTCATAATTATCAATATTTTAAATATTAAAACCATACCATATTTTTTATGTTTATCTTTTAATGTTTACAACTAAAAGAAATGGTAATAATGGTATGTCACCCCATATGAAATAATGCAATAATTTACATATATAATGTTTCTTTACAATATGATTAATTTAATGTGAAGGAACCTATTATCATGTGCTATGATCTATGAACTTCATCAAGTTCACGAAGCAGCATAAACATTCTTATTAAAATTTTTAATATTACAGGAAAGAAAGATAATCTTCAGATAGAAATAATGCAGTCATAACAGCCCTAGTTAGGAAAACGTGAGAGTAAAATAGAGGATGAATATAATTATATAGCTTACTGTGTTATAAACTGTACATATTATTACACTGAATCTTTGAGTGTTTTTAGTATAATTTTGCGTAAATGTAACTTCCACCACGGAAAGAGGAGAGTATTGGGAGTTAAAATGGGATTAATATGTTAATAATTGAGGAAACATTGAACAGAAGGATGTCCGTAACTGGAAATATTTTCCGACCCCAGAAGCAAAAAAAAATGACCAAACACGCGACAGATTGTATAGCGAAGTTTCAGTGATTTTGGTTGATTTCATACTGAGCAAAATGACTCTATGTTGTTAACATATTCATAATTGGCAAGATTATATATCAGACAGACGTTTTACACGTTCAAAGAATTTTTTTTACGTATTATATTGTTTCAGAGATAGCAGCAATAAAATGTCTTCCGAGTTTACTCAATTTGCGGATATAAATACATAAAGCATATTAGATAATTACCACCTTATCAAACACACCGTACGACGGATGTTGTTACTTTTTAGTATTTACAATACTATTTTTTTACGAGAGGTTCGTATTTTGAGTTTCGTATATGTCGTGTAAACATCGTGGTACGGCACATCTTACGTTTCTCACGCAAACGGTGCGTTCTACAAGAAAAGAATCCGTATCGCATCTGAACATAAGTCGTACACAACGTGATAGAAAGTAAGCTTTGTCGTGGCTTACATTACGTATATGTAATACGTAAACGACTTACTTACCGCGAAGGATATGGAATGCGTTTAGTTACTGGCATCCTCCTTTCACACAGTTCAGGATTTATAGACTACTACTTCCATGGTACTTGAAAAGGTACTTGGTAAGGACGGGCAGTCTTAAGGATCTTCACGCGGTTGCAGGACAAATCTGAGCAATTGCATACGCGGCAAGCTGCGAATTGGTAATTATAATCTGCAATGAGAAACATTCAATATAAAGATCATAATTGAATGAAGGCTCTCATTCTCGCTTCCTTCTATCTATCTAACTTCTCTACTTATTTTTCGTGAGTGAATTGTAAGCACGATTTTTGCGTAATCGAATTTTCAGTGTCTGCAAATATGCATGTGTGACAGTCGCCCGTCTTTACTGTTGCATCGTAATTGCTATATTAGCAAAAGGATGATTCTTAGGTTCAGTGCTTCTCTACAAAAACACGATACATAGCTGTGACGATTCTAACAGCAGATATATCCTAATGAGTAAGTGCGGTTTACACACAAATTGAAACGGTTATTTCAAAAAATAAAAGAATACATTATTTTATTCTCAAGGATGCTTTTTTGTTTGATGTTTCTTCTCGTTTATGTTATGATTATTTATATGTGTAATTGCATTAATTAACAATATGCCAAGGATCTTGCAGAAAATACTCTTAATCATCCTCACATTTTTCTGCAAACGTCTATCATATAGACAAATGGGCTATTACGACTGCTGCTTATTAAGATTGATCAAATTTGGATAATTTTTAATATAAAAACAAACGTTACAATATTTTACATTATATAGCACACATATAACCATTTATTAACATGCTACTATTCAATTCAAATCAATTTTCATATTTCAAAAAATCTTTACGTTATATATAGAAACTTCTATTAATTTCTTTCTCCTTAATTAATTTGTTAATTTAACCGAATACATTTAAAGTCTAGTTTATAGCCGAAGTAAGTGATCGAAATAGTTAACACATACAAGCAAAGAAATTCTAATCTCATCAACAAACGTTTCGTCAGCACACAATCGGGATAATTATACAGCTATATTTACGTCTTATAAGAGCTCGTTTTCCACGCGTTACCTTGTCTCATGTTTGACTACAGATCTCGCTCGAGATAAGATCGGTCGGGAACAACAAAGGTTCATGCTGCAGCAAGTTTAACGGTTCACGCAAGCAATTATAATGCGTGTATTAAACACAATAACGAGAAGATACGAGGCGTTTTCAATGCAAAGAACAAGCTCGGCGAAGGAATACGGAGGCAAATTTACCTTACGAAACTCTTTATGTGTCAACAATATATTCGAATTATAATCGAGACACGCTTATCGCGCGCAGGTAAATTTTCACAGTGCCGTACCGATTGATATATTTCCCTAACAAAGGTAAGGTTATTACAGGTCTTCCGATAATAACAACATTAGTTTTCACCAATACATAATTTTACGATAATCTTGTCGTCAATAGTATTCTTCGATAAGATGACTTCTTCTCAGAAGATCTCAGTCTTCTTATCAATGAAATTAATAGAATTGTAATATTAAATTCAGACTCTGGAAATGACGTTTGTTAGCGACAATGCGCGGGTACGCGATAAGCATCGTAACCTCCCGCGGCGATGCGGAAAATTCAACATTGGCGAAAAAGCGTAGCGAGCTGCAGTCGAAAGGAACATACGTAGAACATAAACATTAGAGCTGACAAAATTATCGAGCGACATCACTGTTTAGCATACTTGGAAACTGCTCAAAGAGCGTTCACGCGCATACATATACGTTTACCCCGGAGCGACTGCGCTTCGCAGATGAAGGCACAAACAAAAGCTAACACGGACGGCAAAAAAGGAGGATAAGTCTCGGTCTACAAGCTTGCTTTAAACCATAACGCCTATATCAGACTATATGGATCGGCAAGTAAGGTAGAAGATTTAGATTATCTGATTGTGATGATTTGGATTATCCGATTGCAAATCTTCAACATCCATATAAATTGCAAATCAACAACAATCTATAGTCTGATACGAATGTAAACAAATTGATTACCGCGGTTGATTGTTCCAAGAATAATGTCAGTGGTTGGTTATTTTGTTCAGGGTTAAAGCAAGGTTGTGAATGGCCAAGGCTGAGGATGGAAAAAAAGCGATTGCTCCCAACAGTTGAGATTAGTGAAACAGTTGAAATTGCGGTGTCTCACGGAATTTCGTGTCGCGTAGCCATAGCGTTAAACGACGTATTTGCGGTCCGCCAAGGAAACCTACTCAACGATCGTGTCCTCTATTTGGTAAGTACATAACAAATACAAACACGTCTCTACGTATGTATATACATTCATGTATACGTGCGTATATATACATACGATCCGACGATGCGCGGCTGCAGATAGGGAAATCGTACGGTGCACTGCGGCATGTCGATCGGCATGACACGATTGTCGTGCGATACTATCGACCGCACGGAAGGGGAGGACCGCTCTTTTTCCATCTCTCTCTCTTCTCTTTCTCTCTTCCTCCCTTTCTATCTCCCTTCGTGGCAAAACCAAAGAACGATTATATATATGGATTATTTACCGTATCACCATTGTGGCACCCTCCGCATTCGAACGATTTCGCTGCGCGACGCGATAGCAAGAGGAAGATACAGGCGACGCTCGATTCAGCAACGGGCGAGTGAGCGAAACGAACAGTCTTTCTTTAGCCGCGCAACTGCAGTCAAAAGGGGCGCACCGCCCTCGTTCAGTCTTCCATCTTCACAAGTCGCCGCGATCTGTCATGTTTACGAACGACGACGGGGACAACGATAACCTTCGGGAGGGACGGCGACCCATGATTACGTGGGTTATGCGAGTGTCATATCGATTGCCGATGCGGATTCTCGCGCGTCTCTAGTAGTCTCTCGAAACACGCCTCCTCCTCCGAACACTGCTCTCCGCGTTTGTTCTTTCGTCTACTGCGACGCGCGGCACACTTCGCTCTCGAGACTCATGCGTCCTGACGATACGTAACACCGAGTTTATTTTGTATGTCACACACGGAGGAGGAGAACGGCAATCACACACTAGATAGCTGCGTTTGCTTCCGCAAGTCGTCGCGACGGACGGACTCTGTTTTCGTTGCGAGGCACACGCGCGCGCACACACACAGCCGCGCACAACGCGACCTGTCTCTTCCTCGGTGTTGCACACTGACGCAGAGCAGTTGATACAGCGGAGATACGTGCGTGTGCGCGCGCGACGAAAACGCAGTGTCCTCTCTGTCGCGCAATGCGCCGCGCTACTACGATCAATCGATCAACTGACCGGCTGATTGTGAGATTGTGAAACGCGACGCTCGCATGTACGCCGTTTAATTGCACATCTGTACTATAATCGCGAAATTTGGATACTTTGATCTAATTTTGTCCGATACACGACACTCGACCCGAAAGATTATCAAGCGAACATGCAACATTGCCAACTGTGCGATTGATACACACGCGAAAAAGAATTCGTTGCACTAACCTGACCTAGGGTGCGTTCGGGGAACACGCTATCACGCTACCGCGTTCTTCTATCTTTATCGCTCCTTAGATATAAAACAAGAGATCTATGGTGGGACTATGTTAAAATAATAGCAAAGAAATAGAAAGAAGTTTCCTGTTTATACAATCATGTGTAACAACTCGATGAATCGTTACACGACAAATCATGATTGTATAAATAGGAAATTTTTTTCCATTTCTTCGTCTTTTTTTTACATAGTTCTACCACTGTTTTCTGTTCCTAACTGCTGAACTGGTGCAATAAGTTAGAGCGAGACAAATATATTTTTTCTCGCTCTAACTTATTGCACCATTTCAGCAGAGCAGGAACGAAAAACAAACCTAAGGATAAAATGACACGATAACGCTGAATAGCTTTAATAGCGAGCTCCCCAAACGCACCTTTAGGCTTCAGATTCCCTACCCGGTTGCACCTAATATTAGAAGTGCTATAGTAATATGTAACACATACTATAGGCCAGTATTCATAGTCGAATCTTATTTCAAGTCTGCTTAAGTCACATTAGCGATTGACGATTGATGATTAAAGATTGGAACTTGACCAATTGGAGCAAAGCAAGCCAAGGCTGAAGTTTGTTGATTCGTTAAAATCTAATCTTTAATTGTCAATCGCTAGTGTGATTTGGCCTTAATAATTGGCCAATCGTAGTCGATTATTATATAAATAATCGTCTATGATTGGTTAATTCTTATGGCTTATTTCTTAAGCCTATTCTACAATTGCGTGAACGTGGTTGTAAATGGTTGTAAGTGATTACGACAACCTATCAGAGTAAAGCAATCAGTGAATAAAACATTCGGATTGGTTGACTCTTACGTTCACGACTACGCTTACGCAATTGTAGAATGGGCTTTACTCCAAGCTTACTTCGCATATTGTAGACGACGCTTTACGGTCCAAGAATCAACGATTGTGATTCTTAAGGGACGTCTACATTGGAAGTAAGCAGTAAGAAGTAGGAAGTAAGAATAAGAAATTGACCAATCATAGTTGATTATTCTTCTCACATTCGACTGTGGTTGGTCAATTTCTTACTCTTACTTTCTACTTCTTGCTATTTACTTCCAATGTAGACGTCCCTTTACTCTGATTGGTTGTCGTAATCACTTACACCACTTACATCCCCGTTCACGCAATTGTAGAATGGGCTTAAGACCGTCTACAATAGAAGTCGTAGTCGTAAAGAGTCGTAAGTCGTAGAAATTGACCAATCATAGTTGGGTTCGAGAAGAATAATCGACTGTGATTGGTCAATTTCTACGTCTTACGACTCTTTACGACTCTACGCTTCTATTGTAGACTAGCCTTTTCTTTGCTAAACGTAGCCAATGCATTTCTATTTCAGATTCTTCGGATGGTTCGTATACGCGTAACGGGGTTAGGATTTGGTGTATGTACGAAGTTTCGTAACTACGCAACATACAATACATAAATTAGAAAAAAAAGACAATCGGCACGGAAATATTAATTGCGTCCCAAATACGAAATTTATAGAAGGTTTGAGATCATTCCCAGTACTTTCTATATTATGAAATATGAATCGTAAAAGAATACACGACGAAGATGAGGGCTATGGTAAGTTGCAATATTGTTGAACTACAATATAATACTTGTTACAACTACAACATAGATTCACTAATTTTGTAAAATTTGTTTTTCAAGTCTTTAATTTATGTATAAAAATATGTAATAATGGCAAATTTTACCAAAAACTATGCAGAAAGTTCCTTCTAAATAATTACATATACTAGGAAAGTGTTTCTCATTATAAAAATATTTGTGTTAATGTTTAATGTGTTTGTGCTAATTATATACATTTGTGTATGATTATTTTCATACTTATTGTAAAACTATATTTTTTTTAGAACGTGTATATAAGAAGCGCAGGAGAGTATCGGAAAATCAAGAGATTGAAGATCGTCTTGAATCTCTCATCCTACGAGTTGGAGAAAAATCAACATCATCTTTGGAAAGTAACCTAGAAGGTTTAGCTTCTGTACTAGAAGCTGACTTAGGTTTATTCCGCCTTAAAATACTTCGAATTTTAACAGATTGTGCTATTAAAATGCCAGAAAAGTGTACAATTTATACTACACTTGTTGGATTATTAAATGCAAAAAATTTCAATTTCGGTGGAGAATTTGTCGATTACATGGTAAAAAATTTCAAGGATTCCTTGAAAATATGCAAATGGGATGTAGCTAGATACTCCCTTAGATTTCTAGCTGATTTAGTAAATTGTCATGTTCTGTCATGTGGATCATTAATGCAACTATTTGACAATATGCTGGATGCTGCCAATGAAGATGGTGTACCACAAGTGAGACGTGACTGGTATGCAAGATATTCCTCATATTTCTATAGAAATATCTTTATGGTACAAATTATATGGCATGTATAGTTATTTTACATAAATTTTATCTAATAGTTACAAATAATAATTTACAGGTATGTTTATGCTGTGCTGTCGACACTACCATGGGTTGGTAGAGAATTGTATGAAAAGAAAGAACAAGAATTGGATCACTTAATGGTAACCATAGAGATATTTTTAAATAAACGAAATAAGAAACATCAACCAGCATTGAGAGTTTGGTCAAGTGACACACCTCATCCACAAGAGGAATACTTGGACTGCTTGTGGGCTCAAGTTCGCAAGTTAAGGCAAGACAATTGGGCTGAGAAGCATATTCCTCGCCCATATCTTGCATTTGATTCAATTCTATGTGAAGCATTGCAGCACAATTTACCACCATTAATGGCACCTCCGCATCACGAAACTTACTCTTATCCATTGCCTACGGTCGTCTTTCGTATGTTTGATTATACTGATTGTCCTGCTGAAGGACCATTATTACCAGGAAGTCATGCTATCGAAAGATTTCTGATAGAAGAACACTTACGACAGATCATTAATAATAATTATTTTGAAAGAAAAGATTGGTACGTAATATATACACTGAAAGAAAATAAATAATTTCTTAATTTAGATAATTCATGAAGCAGAAGCTATAAAAAATTTCTTATAAATTCTTGAAACAGTATTTATCTCATTATCAAATTATGTATAGCAATAATAATCATTTTTTACTTTACAGTGCTGCCCAGCTATTGAATTTCCCATTCAAAGCCAAAATTCCCTTAGACTACTGCATAGTTGAAGTAATATTTGGGGAATTATTTAGACTACCTGCTCCTAAACATTTGGAGATTTGCTATGGATCGATTTTGATTGAACTTTGTAAATTACAACCATCAACAATGCCACAGGTTAGAAAATAACAAGTAACATTATATTTATAAATTTTATATGCTATCATCTGAAATTATATAGTGGAATCTCAAAGCAGGATATATAACGTTCATGTTCACTGCATTCATAGGTACTAGCACAGGCCACAGAAATTCTATTTCGCCGTATAGACAGTATGGCAGCTACCGCTTTCGATCGTTTCGTTTGGTGGTTTGCTTATCATTTAAGCAATTTTCAATTCCGTTGGTCATGGGAGGATTGGGATTCTTGCTTACAACGCGACGCAGAACATCCAAGACCAAAATTTATACGAGAAGTTCTGCTTAAAGCTCTAAGGTAAGTGTATTGACAATTTTAAACAATTTTAAACAGTATTATTAAAATATGATTTTATATATACTAATATTATTGAGATTTAGAAAATATCCAATTATACCAAAGATTATTCTATTAAAAGTATATTAAAACTTATACATTTTTAGATTGTCATATCATCAAAGAATTCGAGAAATGATGCCAGATTCATATACAGAATTGATTCCAGCAATTCCCGATCCCGTATACAAATATACATCTGAAGGTGCTAGTAAGTATAAAGAATAGAAATTTACATTTATTTTTTTAATTTTACTGAATACTAAGTAACTTTTATAAGTAAGTTTTATATATGGAATAAGAAAAAGCATACCATTGACATTAATGTGCAGGTTAGCATTTTCCCTGAAAATATTCAATTTTTAGTTAGTTAATTGTAAGTATTTTTCTTGTTCCTTTTTTATTGTCTCTGCTCTGTATCATTATGATTCTTCAATTACGAGTACCAAACCTTGAAACATGGAAATTAACGTTTTTTTAAAGAAATGTAAAATATAAGGAAATTACATTTACATTACCAGTTTTTTTGCAATATCAATAATCAATTGTAGAATTATTCCACTATTATAAAATTATATCTAAGTATGTAAATAGAATAGTATAATAGTTTAATTGTTAAATTTTATAAAAAAGCAATAAATAAAAAAATTAAAATAGATTAATTAGTCACCAATATATTTCAGGTTCCCTCCCAGGTACAGCTGCAGCTCATGAATTGGTGGTCTCTATAAGGCGCAAATGTACACCAGAAGAAGTGTTAAATGTATTGAATACATTGCCTGGTACCAGAGAAAATGAAGAAACGAATAATTTTAATCCTCTAAAAATTGATGTCTTTGTACAGACTTTACTGAATCTTGGCTCCAAAAGTTTTAGCCATAGTTTTGCAGCTATAGTTAAATTTCATTATGTTTTCAAGGCAAGTCTCAACGTTATTATTGTACAGTTCAACATGTATAAATTCCTCTATATTTATATACACACACACGCATGTATATACACATACATATATACTATATGTATATGTTTTTCATATAAGTAAAGTTACAGGTGCTTGCTGAAACAGAAGAAGCACAAATATGTATATTAAGAAACATGTATGCATTATGGAAGAATCACTACCAAATGATGGTGGTATTAACAGACAAGTTTTTAAAAACTGGTATTATTGAATGTAGTGCTATTGCAAACTGGATATTTTCAAAAGAAATGGCATCAGAGTTCACAAAGTACGTTTTGTTATTTTATATATATATATATATATACACACACACACACATTTGTTAAAACATGTTTACTTTTAACTATTAAAACATGGTTATACTTATTAACTTATTTTAACTGTTTTAAAGTAAAATATTTCATAATATATATAACAAACAACAATGGAATAGTCAAAGAACTTCGATTTTCAGATTATACATTTGGGAAATATTGCATTTGACTATACGTAAAATGAATAAACATGTAATGAAGTTATGCACAGAAGTAACAGAAGCGAGAGAGACATTGAGAAGAGCAGAGAGTAGGTCGGGATCGTCTTCGGAAGATGAAGACAATAACAAGGAGAGAACTAGAGAAAGACCGTCGGAAGATGCAGTGGAACGAATGGAGGAAAGATTAGAAGCAGCACAAGCAGATCAAAAAAATTTATTCCTCATTATATTTCAGGTATAAGAATAAAATTTAATTTATAGTGAAAAACAAGTAATATACATATGTATCGAGTGTAACATTTTTCAATTTTATTGTATGTAAAATTTTGTCTTATCTAATATATCAACATATTTTTTCCCTTAGCGATTCATAATGATTCTCTCAGAACATTTAGTACGTTGCGATACAGATGGAATTGATTATAATACGCATTGGTATAAATGGACTATAGGAAGATTACAGCAAGTCTTTTTATCGGTGAGTTATATTGATTATTTGCTGATAATACCTAGAATATATAAATTCACGTTTATAGGAAATTTTAATAGATATTAATATTATTTTATTTATGCATCGTATGTTTTACATATTGCATCACGTAATAATGATTTATACATATTTCTCTTACAGCATCAAGAGCAAGTACAAAAGTATTCTTCGACTCTGGAGACCCTGCTTTTTACCCCAGACCTGGATCCTCATATTTTAGATGTATTTCATCAATTTGTCTCTCTCCGAGCATGAAGCTACACTTAAAAGAATATTTCATTTATTTCAATCATGTAGACACTCCATAATGAAAAATTATAAATAGATAATTTAATATCAATACTTTAATTTCTAATATTTCTGATATAACGAAAATACAATTTTGTTATCAATATTTTGTTTAATTGAAAAATTACTTTTTTAACTTTCCTTGAAATTAATTTGCAACAATGTTTTTTCCTTTTGTGTTGTATTCTCCTCTTTGTTGTGGTACTTTTTGCTATAAATAATATTCAGTGTTTACCTTTGAATACCTACTTTTTATTTGTGTATATATTTTAAGTGTATTTTCATGTATAATGCTATTCTATATCAATCCTGCATTATCAATTGTATGTACTTCTAATAATCCTATTTTTATTGAGAACGAAATTATGCATACAAAATAATTATATACATCTTATCTGTCGTTTCTTTTATTATATATCATTAATCATACAATTGTTACGCATATATAAATATTACAAAATAAATCATAAACATATAAATAAACATAAATGTTACATAAAAGTATTGTTATATGGATAAAGTGAAAATGTAACAGTATTGATCAGTTTTTAGGTATGTATGATTAACATAAGTCTACAAACATAATAGAATTAATAATACAGTTTTCCAAGTGATTTGCAATAATTAAATTTATATAATTTGTTGTACAATTTGTTAGAAGTTAAAGAACATCTGATGTACAGATGAGGATTTTTTCTATAAGTTTTCTGTGAACTCATGAAAAGTGAAAATTTTCTGCTTTGAAAGCATTTAAAAGTTTTCACTCTTTATAGGTTCACACTAAAGAGAAAGATTTATAATCGTCATATATGCCTCTTCTCCTCCCCCCCCCCCTTAATATTATAAAGAGTTTCTTGTAAATTTCCCAACCTGAAGTCTGATTTACAATATGTTCTTTGCTTCCTCTTTCTTATTCTATCTTTTTAATATGATCTACAATATGCTCTCCGCTTCCTGTTTCTTATTCTTTCTTTTCTTCTAACAAGATCAATATTTAAATCAGAAAGAGAAACAAAGCAAAGAATACATTGTATATCAAACTTTTCTGTCTTAAAAAAAAGAAACATGAAACAAAAAACATTGTAGATCAAGTTTAAAGCTTAATCTATGTGTTATTTGCTTCCTGTTACTTTTTCTTTATCTCTTTCTGACTCAAGCCTTAAACTAAAAAAAGACAGAAAAACAAGAAACAGGAAGCAAAGAACACACTGTAGATCAGGCTTTACACATAACACATGAAATTGAAAATCGTAAGAAACACTAGTAATTATATTTACATTGATCTGCGCTTGTGTACATATTCTGTCTTTTAAAGCGCTAAATAAATTATGCTTTAATGATATATAATACTAAAGAAGTTTAAAGTGTATGTGACGTCTCAGACATAATTTCATGTGTCCGGCATTTGTAACGCAGAGTTGCACGAAGCGCTGCATTCAACCGCGGTATTCCTACGCGCCGGTCGCGGCACGCACAATGCACGCGTAATCCGCCGTAATCATCAAGATCGTTCATGTGCGTGAAGATAGAAGTGGTCATAGAAAAAAAAACTTTATTTTTTATTGCCGCTTGTGTATTGCATAGTGGAGGCTCATTTTCTCAGTGCTCGTGTCATTATTGCGTACGATAAAATTGAGTGAAATTTTCCAGATAAGACGGGCGCGGAGCTTTCCGGTGGCGCTGGTGTTGTAGCCGCCCTGTTGTGTTAGAGAACGAGGAGAAAGAGGTGCGGTGTTGCGTGATTGGGAGCGAGCGATCGTAGCGTGTGTGTTTGTTGTGTTGTAAGCGAATTAAAAATCCTTCATATCTTCTTTTTCGTGAACGCGGATGCATACGAAGTGAGAAAAGTAAAATCGGGAGCGAGAGAAACAAGGGAAAAGAGAGAGAGAGAGGGATTGAGCGAAAGGGAGAGCAAAAGTGTGTGAGAGAGAGAGAGCGCGCGAGAGCGTGAAAAGTACACGCGTTAGAAAGAGTGAAAGAGCGCAGAGCGAGAGAGAAAAATTGTCGCCTAATCTGCTTCGCGAATTCGTCCGTCCGTCTGCACGACTAAGAGAAAAAAAGGTATAAGAGAGACAAACATGTCGTCCTACATCCAGGTTGCTGAAGATGAAGGCGAAGAGCCTATCGAGCTGCCCACTGAAGATGACACTACACTCTTACTCACCACTTTGTCTGCCCAATTCCCCGGCACCTGCGGTCTCAAGTATCGGAACCCGGAGTCTCGTACGATGCGCGGAGTTCGGTTGGTTGACGGACGCCTGCATCCGCCTGAAAATGGTTGGGGCAAAGCCATCTACTTCTGTGTGTTCCCCAAAGGTATATTTATACACTCTTACTAGTACATTCTTATATCTTACTGTGGTGATAGCGTTGCCTTGGCGGCGCTCGTTTGCAAAACGTACGAGCGAGTCGGTGCGAATACGGAGGTTGTTCTTAAATCAAAATTATCGGAAGCCTATATTCGGTCACAATGATCGAAAGTATGACCTTCTTTTCTGTCTCCTGTAACCTATTGTAACTTATTGCGAATCTACTGTTACAAATTTCGGGTCGAATAGACCAGTAGATGAAGATTCTACTATGAATAATTCACACTGTTCGTTCATGAGAGCTAGTGCCGCTTTTCGTATCGATATATCGATCCTATTCTATACTTAAAAGAGACACATTTACTTAGGATTATCTCATAATCCGTTATTCCTCCGTATTTGCCTATGATACTTTATATTAATATTAAGTGAGATATTGAAAATATATATGGATCAAGACCAATTTCACTAAATTTTAAATCAACTAAAAAAGCAATAAATTTACAAGACAATTTTACAACACACTTTTATCTTGCTTTTTTTAAGACTTATATCATGTGACTTGATCTACTTATATTTTTAATATAAAATTTAAAGTCTTAAATAGAAAATGAAATATTTGTTCCGATATAACAATTTTTTGGATAATGAACTATGGAAACATTAAGGGATATCAAAGAACGACATACAATTTATGCAAGTTTCAAACTATACTTCTATCTTTCTCTGTTTATTTTTTTATTTTTTTCTGCAAATAATCACAAATTGTTAGACATGAACGTCTATGATATCTTTTCAGAGAACAAACGTAAATCTGATGACAATTTGGAAAATTCCACAGCTAAGACTAAAAGAATGGAAACGAAGTTGCGTTGCACTGACTTGATTGTACTTGGTTTACCATGGAAAACTACGGAACAGAACTTGCGCGAGTATTTCGAACAATTTGGTGAAGTTTTAATGGCTCAGGTGAGTATCATTTATGTTTGTTGAAAGCTATTCTTGAGTTTTAAAACTAATATAAAAGAGTACAAAGGGATATATTTTACAAAAAAATACTAATTTTTTATATTTTTAAAAACTAATTAATTCATGACCTTTACTAATCTGTTAAAGATAAGAAGAGTGATAACAGTATTAAGTATAATAAATGCATCTTAAAATAATATAATAATTTTTAAAATTTTGATAATTTTAATTTAATGGTAATGGTAATTTTAATTACTAATTATTTATGTTGCATTGGATAAATATATTGTATAATAATGTACAAGTAGAAATAATGATTGAAAAAGAAACAGTTATATTCATGACTGTACATTTGAACTATAAAAATATTATGTTAACATTCTATCTATTCTATCTATCTATTCTTTCTATCTATTCTGATAATTTAGGTAAAGAAAGATGCAAAATCTGGACAAAGCAAAGGATTTGGCTTTATTAGATTTGGAAGTTATGAATCACAATTGAGATGTCTCGCTCAACGTCATATGATAGATGGCAGATGGTGTGATGTCAAGGTTCCCAACAGTAAGGTAAGAACATATATTTTTAGATAGATCATATGATCTTTTCTACTATTTTCTATTGCTTTCTCAAATATATAAGAAAATTTTGGAAAACGTTAAATCGATCATACATATTGAAGCACAAAAATGAATAAATCATTTTAAAAATAAGAGATATTCTGAGATACATATACTGAAAGTAATTTTATAATTTTGAAGGATGTATAAAAAATAATATAAGCATTAAAATTCGCATTATTTTTGTTGTGTTTTTATTTGACAATTAATGATTGCATCAATATTATTTTCATTTTATCATTTTTAAATAATAAAATTTCTACAACATATCAAATGCTGTTACTAATATCAAGTTATTGACTATAGTCATATTCTTGCAAACTGTATAATTGCTGTATAATAATTTTATGAAAAGAGAGTTGTATTTTATGTCTTGAGACAATTTTAATTAAGACTTCTATTGTTTTTGAAATGGTATATTCAATTGATTTATTATGTATTAACACGTTCGCTACCAGGATTTATGTAGAGGACTCTTTCTGCAGATTACAGATTAAAACAGACTTAGTTTGATAATATGTCGATATAAAGAATTTTGATGCACATATATGTGACATGTGACGCTGGTAGCGAACGTGTTAAATCTGTACATATTTTCTAAACTGAAAATTGCAATATAAAGTATTATATTAACTATTATATTGGATATTAAATTATGTTTTATAATTATAACTATATATGTAATTTAAAAAAATTACATATATAAATTTTATTTTTATTTTAAGAAACATATGTTTTAGTTTTTTTTCTAAATTTTTTCTCAATAATTGATTGATATTTTCTCAATAATTAGTATTGTTAATTATTTAAGAAAGAATACCTTAATTACCTTAATTAAAAGAACATATATATTTGAATTTTTTAACAATATATAAGATTGCATTTTATAAATCTCAATTGCTGTCATCAGTTTTTGAATGTTTTTGAAAGTATGTACAGATACAGTGCATATGTTAAATATTTCAAGTAAATGATAGAACGTTGTGTGAGAGACAACAAGCTAAAATTGATAGACTAATATCTTACGAATTTCCTGTCTATCTCCATTTATAATGCTTTAAGCGAGAGAATGTCGATATTTTCTCTTCCTTGGATATTAAGTTCATGTATATGGTGCGTTTTCGGTGTGGTATAAATAGGTGAATGTGTGAGAGATTATAAGTGGTGAAATTATATGGAAAGAATGCAAAATGACTGTATGAATGTATTCTGTATAGAAGCGTGATGTGAGCGCAGAAGAATGAGAGAGATAGTGTGATAGAATGAGAGGGAATGAGAGAGAGAGAGAATGAACGACGTTAATGATGTGTTTGCGTGGATATGTAAATAATATGGTATGTTTGAATCGCTAAATAGTATGAAATCTTCTAAGAGAATGATCAATAGACCTGTTAGATTAACAGAGAGAGAGAGAGAGAGAGAAATGACTTGATGAAACATATTTGCTAAACTTATTTGGCAGACTGCAATTAACGTGTCGTGCATTGTTTCTCTTAAGATTTCTTAAAAATGGCGAAAAATTTTTGCAAGTCTTAATCGTAATATTGAGAAAAGGACTCAAATTTTGTATTTGTTTTGTTAATATAAACAATATAAATTTACAAAATTGTATGATATCTCGTATTAAGTACGCGTGAATGAGAATACCGATAGAAATATTTATATGGAGAGAATGATTGAGAGCGTATCGAACCAACTGAAAAATATTTTCACGTTTTCATATATATATATTTTCCTGAATACATCAAACATTGTAATAAAGGTATGATTTTGTGTGTGGTAATATGTAAATGTCGGATCGCGTTTTTAGATGCATACAAAGCGTATCTCGGAAGCATTTACCATTAAAATTTGTGTAGTTTGTAAAGTCAAACGGGAATGATACTTTTAATACTTTTTGTGAGATTCGATACATGTTGTTATAACATCTAAATAACGCGATAAAGAATCCGAGAAGTGTGAGTCCTTGCAATAAAAATTTTGCACAGCGATGTTCGATATTACTAGAATGCGTAATCAAGAATGAGAAGAGCGAACCCGCGAACAAACGGTACGAATCTCGGTGTGTTTCACATTTCGCGATTAGATTTCTGCGCTGCGAATTGTTTATGCTCGCGTTTCACAATCAACGAGGTTCATATCAGGACGGTTCCGAAATTCGCCTGCACAGTTTGACACGATTACGGTATGGAGTTGACGGAGCGTGAGAATACGTAGCGATCCAGAGTAAACAAACGCTGCGTGAATATGTTGTCACGATGAGCGAGTGCGTATGAGTGCGTTCAACATTTCGATCAAGTCTGGTATGTATGTGATTGTCGAGGGCTGGTGTAATCTGGTTGCAGAATATTGATGGGTTAATGATGGCACGTCAGTATGATACGGGTAAGCACAACGAGTGCTACCGACCTATACCGGTGCACACGCCAAGTAGTCGCCGAGTGCCGGCGTCGAAGCCGTACGCCAACGTAAATTCGTCGTCCGAGGCCAGTGCTCCTCCTCCTAGCGCACCTAGATATGACTCGGAGTACGATTACAAAACCACGCATTATCCGTCGTATCCTCCGAATTATCCATACGACGATAACAAGTACAAGTACGAAGGCGGTAGCGGTAATAGCGGCGGTGGCGGTGGTGGTAACACCAGTAGCGGTGGCGGCGGCGGCGGCAGTCAAACTGCTTACAACGTGTACGAGAAACCGAGCTACACCGCCTACGAGGAGCCCGCTGCTGCGTCGTACGATGCACGTGGCTACATGGCACCACACACAGCCGCTGCGACGCCCAACTCCGCACCGTATCCACCGTCCGACGCAGATTATCCGAGATATGCCGGCTACGACACACGCGCCGCCGCTTATCCCGTCGCCGAAAATCCGGAACAGTATTCAGACAAGAGCAGATATAATTACGGATACGAACAACGAGGCTACTACGAGACTGACGGCCGTTATACTGGCGCGGCAGATTGTCGGTATACCATGGAGGTGCGTTACCCGGACGCGAGACATTCGGACAACAGGCACATCCCGATCGACGCGCGAACAGAAGCGGATTGTAGATACGTGGACAGTCGCGATATGGATAGGCGGTACGTCGATGTCAGGGAAGCAGATGGTGGTAGGTACGCTGTAATGGAGAGCCGCGAGATCGACAACCGTGGTTACCCCGCCGGACCGGATGGCCGGGAAGTAGTCGACGGCAGATTCGCGGATCCGACGCGATATCCGGTTAAAGAAAACTATTATGATCGCTACTACAAACACCGGCCATCGAGGGATCATCACGTCCACGCGGACGCGTCAAGATATTGATGAGGCTCGTGACTATCGTAATTAAATACAACCAATCATGTTTCAATGGGAATATTGGAATGTGCACGTGTGTGTACGGTCCTCGTCGCGGCGACATGCCACGACGAGAGGTTGCGCGGACAGATCCTTTTTTTCTTTTCTTTTTAACTAGGATTTAATACACATTCCTCGGCGAAATTTACCACGCATCTATGAATGTAGAAATATATATACAGATATGTACTACTTGGAGCATATTTCACGACATCTTTATAAACTTGATCTACACTACAAGATTGTACAAAGTGTAGGAATTTGAATAAATGTCAAAGATTAAATAGAAATCCGATATAAACGGAATATGAATTTGCCGAGAAACAAATTCACTAGTTCGACGTACAAATTATTAATATAGTACTTTTATACTGATAGATTGGTTAAATACTTCTTCGTGTCAGAGAAGAATCAATACTTTTCATATATTTTGTATATAAAAAGAAAAGAGATATAATTACGTACTCTTCGACAATTAATGCTCTACACTTTCAACTTATTTGATCTTTTGAACAAATTTAACTAGATTTAATCGATTTGATAATATAATAGTAATCATGAATCATCTTCGATATGTTAAAAATGTTAAATAGATGTGTGGTATGTCGTCTGTAAATGTAAAATGTGTAGATCTTTATCTTTTTACCGTAGCTACTATATTGACTTGATTCAGTTTTACCATTTTATGATCACATTGTCAGAACAATATATATATCGTATATTGTATATATCTAAAAAATATAGCGTAGATATAAGATATACATGTATATATACATATTTTATTCCCATTAATTCATGATGTCTGTTAAACAAGTACATTGTTTATTGGTAGCAAAAAATAATTAGATTGGAATAACTGTTGATATATTTTGTCATGATATGTGCTGAGATTATTCAAATTGAAACAATGTAATATACAGCATGGAATTCTTTATATCGAAATCCATATCGAGCATTAGGAAAAGGACATTGTACAAAGATTGATGCATGGATTTTAAGAGGTCATAGTGCTTAAGAATTCGTTACGACACGGAGATTCGTATGTAACTCGAGCCAACCGACATCCTGTCTCGAACGGATAAATGATATGTATTGAGAGAATTACTATAAAACTTGTTATAGTGCAGATTAATTGCAATCGACGGAAAGTTAGAGTCCCAAGCCAAAAGCGAGAGATTGCGTGTTGAAGAAAATTGATTGTTGTATACATTCTTAATAATGTTTTAATGTAAACTAATTGCAGTGTACTTAGGCCACGTTTGCCATTTAATGTCATTTAATAATTGACGAACGACCAAGGGATAGGTCGCGCGCTCGTGATTCTACCGCCGCCGTTATTGCGAGTAATGTGCACTGCACTGCAAGTTTTTACACGGATAGAAATGTCAACTTAAAAATGTGTACATGATTGATTGATTGTGCGTTTGTGCGTAGGAGGGAATGATTCAGCAAGTACCCTGCAAGGTATTCGTCGGGCGCTGTACAGAAGACCTAACTGCTGATGATCTGCGAGACTATTTCTCCAAATTTGGCGAAGTCACGGACGTGTTCATCCCGAAACCTTTCCGTGCATTTTCGTTTGTTACTTTCCTAGATCCCGAAGTCGCCCAGTCATTATGCGGTGAGGATCATATTATCAAGGGCGTGTCGGTGCACGTCTCGAATGCCGCGCCCAAGTCCGAGGGCAATAACAAGAATTTCAATAATCAAGTAAACTCGAATATGCGAGGCAGAGGCGCACCGGGACCCGTTGATAATAACGTACAAGGCAATTATCAGGGAAATCGATATATGGGCCACTCCGGTAATAACATGGGTCCAAACGGCTGGAATAATCCTGGAAATCGCGGCAATCTTGACATGCCGAATCTGCAGGCTCTAGGCATTACTGGACAGAACAACGGCGGTGGTGGCGGCGGCGGTATGTCGAATCCGTTGGCTATGGGCAGTTTGAATTTATCCGCTTTGCCAGTTAATCCAGCCTTGATGGCTGCCCTGAATCAAGCTTCATGGGGCTTAATTGGTAACCTGCAGAATCAGGGAAACGACCAAAGTTATTCAAACCAGCCAGGTCCACCGGGCCAGCCGCCTTCCGGTAATAATAGCATGGGCAATTCCGGCAACTCCGGATTTCTCAGTTGGATGAATCAGGGCGGCGGCGATGGCAACACCGGCAATCCAGGCACCGGCGGCCCAGGGCCAAATAATCCTAATGCATCTCAGGGCGCCTGGCAGAATCATCCGGGCCAACGCGATCAGAAGTCGAATACATTTCTCAAGTACGAGTAAATTCAACCGGGGCCGTGGATTTACTCGTAATAGACGGATTCTCTCCGCGGGTCCCGGCGCACGTACCTTAACGAACGACAACGGTGGCAGAGTTCAGCAGCAGCAGCAGCAGCAGCAGCAACAACAACAACAGATCGAGGGTACAAAGCGCGTCGTTCCCGGGAAGAAGGGTCGGAGCCTACTACGTTGATGTCTCTTATTTTTTCTTTTTCTTCCTGTTTTACATCAATCGCCGTCATTTCGCGCATGGATAAATACATTGAGTACCCCCGACATAAATGAACTGCCCCGCTGTTCTTATAGGCTTGATGAGTTAGCACAATTCCGTTCGTTGGAAGAGTTAGGCATGTGCGTGTAAACACGGATAGCTCCGATCATTTTGGACATATGTAAACTTCCTTTGTTTGTATGATTTCGTCTGAGCGTATAATTCTACTGGAATGGAAATGATTTAACTGATGTGTGAGTTTAATATTTGTACATGAAATGTATCTGCGCGTCAAAGTTGAAATTATACAACTAAATATGTATGTATGTGCTTAGTGTAATGACTAGTACATTTGTGATATACAAATGAGAGATATTCAGCAAGAGTTGAGATCGAGGGAGATTCGAGTTACTTTTAATCAGTTGCCATTATGATTAAATAATCAATAAAATATTCGAGTTCTCTCGTGCTGTACAAAAAATGTATATATATTTTTGAAAAATATGAAATATTTTTTTCAAATGAACTGTAACTATCAGAAATCAGAGATAATTATTGGTTTTATTTATCTGTTCTATTTATATGTATGCCATAAATTGCATTAAACAATAATAGCTTGAGTCTCTCTCCGTCGCAAATCTTTTCAATAAGCGTGGCTTTTTAATGGACATTTCTTTAAAAAGGCTTTTTAGGTTATATTAAAATTAACCTTCAGCTAATCATTAACCATGATTAATTAAATTTTCTCTTTCTGTCTACATCACACATTTTGTTACATTTTGTGATGTAGAAAGAAATCAGAATAAATAATCGAATATATTAGTTAATTGAAGCTGTCGGTGTATTGGGCACCGTAATGTGGCAAATGTGGCAATATACACTGCAATCGCGAAATTGAAGTCGTAGGACTTGCCATGTCTTGTCGGATTGAATCGAGTAACGTTGTATTGCTAAACATTGTCACTTATTACTGACAACTATTTATTTGTTGTACAGTATAAGTTGTACATCTCAGCATCGCTTTTTTGACAATTTTAGAAGCTTTACATGGTGTACTTTCGAATACTAATATAAAAGACTATTTCACTGCGTAAAACATACTTTCTTCTTTCGAATTGGATAGTCTCGTTTAAAACACCACAGTCTCTTTTGAGATATGTTTTTTCCAGTGCAATTAGTTATCCGCGATTCCTTAGAATTAATTACCATTTTTATCATTCTACATCTGTTTGAATTAATATCGTGTAATTGGCCCACCTCGGATTTATCAAAGCATTATAAAAGTTAGTTTCTATAACGAGCTAAACAATAAAATACTACTAATAATTTTTTGTATAATATTTTCACAATTGTCTAAATAATAGTTGACTTGAAAACATCTTTTTAGATATTGAATAGATTGAAAATTTTCTTCAACTGTGGTACAGAGTTATCCCTGCTGACGTAGTCTTATTTTACAATAGTAGTCTTTGATTGATCCACGCTAAAGATTGCCTTTTAATGGAGTGCCAGTGAACAAATCGATTTTTTGAAAGAATGAGTAATATGATTGGAAGTGTATGAATGTGTCAGGATAGAGGCGTCACATGATGTTGAGAGAATGATCGCAGCTACCCGTAACGTATGATATTTACTGAGTTAAACTTCTGTTTCATATATCTCGAGTGTATACATAAGTACTTTATTATGTAAGAATTGTATTTTACACTGGTGTGTAGGTGTGTCAAAATTATTGATTGTTGGTGTGTGTGAAAGAAAGCATTTGAATTAGATTCTTTTATTTAAGTTAAGTGATGTGAAAGAAAAAACTAAAAATGTCTAGAAGTGTGTGTCTTATATGTACGTACAGACACATAAAACATTTCTACAGGATATTTGACGCAAGACGTGTTATCGCTGTTAGAGTTCATTGTTCAACGCTCGTAAAGTAACGCAGATAAAACTCGTTAAATTAAACAAAAAAAAGTCACTTATCATTTAATGAGTTCTACCTGCGTATGTTGGAACGTCTTATGTTAAATATTCTGTATGTGCTGTAAGTACTGAGTGCGTCTTTGATGACAAGATTCTCAAACTGTTTCCTTGAACGACAATGAAATAAGTAGCTTTACACGTTGAGAGTATTTATTTAAAAAAGAGTCTCTAGTAACACGACGAGGAACGATGCAATTCACATCTCACAATTATAGTCAATAACTTTAACATACGGAATATATAGTTACATCGCATAATTAAACTTAAAGACCACATCTGTCACCGCGACATCACTGGTGTGTACTGCATTAAGAAATTATTTAGATCGACTATCTTTTCTCAAAATGCTAATTATCTTATGAGTATATACTATTGAAAGAGAAAAAATAAATTAATACTAAGAGATGTATATGCTGTTGTACTCTTCATTTATTGTACAAGTAATTTTTCATATACTTCCTATTTGACGCGAGAATATTGCTGCTCATTAATATATGCGATCTATTAATAATAATCTCTCTCGCACAGTACTCTTTCTCTCTCATTAGCGTCGATTCTTGTCGTTACACGTGTCATCATGTACAAACAATTGAAAAATTCCTGACTTTTAAATCAGACAATTGGAGTGTTCGATACAGGCACGAATCATTGTGTGTATGACGGTTGAATGTATTTGTTAACGGTCGTCTCAGAGCTACAGGCATGAAAGTTTTCACTTAGTAAAAATGATAATGATGCCGTTTGTTCAAGAGCACGCACGCGTGTTACTCGGCAACGCAAGATGTAGCAAAATGAGGTGACTGAATTAATAATGTAAGGCGAGCGGAAAATTGCTGTATAAGTCTTAGCTTGAGAGTGAGCAAAAGTGGTTTGATGTGTGTTTGGTATATACTTGACCGAGATTGTTTATATGCATATATGTAAAAAGATTAAATCAGATTTAAAGTGGGAATAAACAATATAGAGCTCGTTGATCGACATTCTGCCGCGCTTCTTAAGTCTGTAAATTGTTAGATCAATATACACAGAGGCTGTAGTTTAAGACAACTTTTAACAGACATTAGAACCGTAATTAGCTTGTCGCTGACGCACAAACGTTCGTGCTTTTAATATATTAATATACGGAAATATTTTCAGGGAACGCAATTCCAATACGCAAGATACGTGAAGTGAAATGAAGTAAAATATAATTTGTACGAGAAGTAAAATAAAGTGTGGATGACGAGAGACAACTGTATGATGGACAGTAGTCGGTTAATCAGTCTGAACATTCGTGCGTCAGTAGTCGCGATCACGGATCATTTCAAATCGTTTGAAATAACGATGCCTGCGGCATGCGTTTTGGTGTACTACAAATTGATCGATTGCGATCGAGAACAACACGACACCGTAGATAAGCTCTTCGTGATCCCTCAATAATTCAATCTGTAGAACAGTGAAATTTCACGCGATGAGACTTACTGCTCAAAGGAGTTGCCTTGCAAAACGATTTGAAAGTGATCTACGAAATATGTAAATACGGATTGATAAAGCAATTTTAATATCGCTCATATAAAATGTATCGAATTTTATTGTAAAGTTAGCTGCGTTCTTGTAAATCGCTCGATATGTTATTGTATTCTGAGAGAGAGAGAGAGAGAGAGAGAGAGAGAGAGAGAGAGAGAATGAGAGAAGGAAGAGAGAGAGAGAGAGAGAAAGAGAGATAAAGAAAGAGAGAGAGAGGGAGAGAGAGAAAACGAAACTGTGCATGGCAGTTAGTTGAGTTGAAACGTGTGTCGTGAAATATTGTCGTGTGAGAATGTTGGTTTTAATCCGTCGATCTCAATTGTTGAGGGATTTCGAGCCGCGTCGCGAGAAAGGACTCAGTGAGAAATAGAATCCGGCTTTCTTCTTTTTACACTTTTGAGATACTTTGAGCTATAAACTCGAAGCTGAATGAGAGTTTACTCATCGAGGATTTTTTTACCTGTACCGTGTGTTGCGCGAGACTTTGTGGATGTAAATTATTAGTTTGATGATCGCAAACAACGTATCTATACATACGTTTTCTAATTTGTATTGACGACGTGAAATCGTAAAACATTCTCCGAGTCGCCACGGTGCAAAAATACTCAACGTCGTCCTCCGTTGATTGTAGTGTATGTTAAACTATGCCGAGAATAAAAAGACCCAAACACCGTGGGTATCACACATATCCTTTCACGTGTCTTTAAATATTGAGCTAACGCACAATTGTACACTTCCTGGTTGTCCCAGAATTAGTGGAAGATGGATACGTAGTTTGTTATCTCTTGTGGAATTTGAAGTCGAGTTTCGTTAAGAATAATACTAAGGTATTAAGTTTTTGAAGACAAGTGATTTTCTGCAAACTAAACTTCAAAAATGAAAGTGGAGCACATGATTTGATATTATTATATTATTTTATATTATAATCTATAAAATAGATTTCTTTTTAGTTAAATGTGTCAAAATGATTCTGAATTTAATGTGTTAAAATGAAATTCGTAAAATTGCGAGAAGTGATGATCTTTCTTCGTCACAAATTGACTCCAAACTGCGTGAGAAACAAACTCTACGTATCTATTTTTGGCGTTAATTCTAGGATACCCAACATCCACAGTATATTTAAGATTTGTCCAATGTTAACACATACATCAGACAAGCAACTCAATACGCAATATTTTCTTATTTTATCATCCAAAAAGCGTGGTGACTCTTTGATATTTTCAAGAAAATCATGCTTATGCAATAATGAGCAATGCGCAAGATTTTATTTTATTCTTATGATTCATCAATCTCTCACCGGGAAATACAGTTAAGCTTAATCAGGAATATGTAATTACATCGCGATAAGGGCGCGGTTGTAGGGCAACGTTTAAAACAGTAGAATCGTGAAAACAAGCAGAAGAGTACGAAAGGTAATGTAACAGTGCACCGGTAACCGGCCTTTTGGGTGATGATGACTGAATGAAGAGATGATCGCTATGGTAGACGTAAAACTATGGAAACATCCGCTGATCCTCAAAAAAAACAGGTGATTACGATCTTTTATGATGATGATATTTCTTTCATAACGCCTCATACATCACCTCAGTGACCAAATGTAACCACTTAGAGTAATCATAATTATTATTGATACTGACTTACCGTCATCTTCAAAACGTTGATTTTGTACGTTGATTTTAACAATAGTTTGACGATATTTTCTTTTTGTTAATCTTATCACATTGACATGTTCGTAATATTTTCTCTTCGCAGTGAAACAAATTAGTTATGAATATTTGTTGTTTCTCGAATATTTCGCGTGTGTGCTTTTTCTTATTACTATTAAAAGTATTATTAGAATTATTATTTTTATAGAAGAAAATATTACAGTAAATGTCAGTCAATTTCAAATTATTTGTAACTGTTTTATTGATATGTATCTCTTATGAAGATTCGCTTATTTTTCGCATTTTTACATTATATTTAACAAAAATCTTCACTTTTTGTCATTATGAAAAATTGATATGACAAAAATTTATGTGAATTTTGCTCAATTGTTTTGACTTCGCATCACCAATGATCTTATTCTTTCTTTATCCATTTGTGGAAAAAATGATCTTCGCGCAAATGAAATTAGTGTTTTTTACAAATTTTTGTTGCACGCAAGATTATACTGTATTTGTATTTCTAAGTTCGCTTTCCGTTTTTTATTTTTTAAGAATATAATTATCACATACACATATTTATCCTGCGTGATTGGATAATATTTATTATTATTATTATCGACGAGAAGTAAAATTTCAGGCATATCTTCCGCGCATTTACATATTTTTCTCATAAACAAGATACGAATGGATAGCGGGCCGAATTATCTATGATTACTAAACTACTATGATTATTACTAAAGGTGAATCCATTTTGTATTAAAAATATATATTAAAAAATAGATAAGTAAAATATAAAAAATATACATTGTGGCAGTCATACCATCCAGTTTTCTTATGTTCAAGTCTCGTCCTGGAATACAGTAAGACTCACTGGTCGTGATACTAAAGTATAAGTTGGAATGTTAGTACTTTTAGTTAGTCTGACTTCGAGTCCTCGCTTAAGCCGGACACTAATCCTATATCCGATTTTGTTCAACAGCCTGGATGAGTATATTATGTCATGATGAGTCCGTACGTGAATATACCTCTGGATAGATACGAAGTGTTGATGCACGTGGAAGATCGAAAGCGAGTGAGCGAGAAAGAGAGAGAGAGAGAGAAAGGTGAAAGAATTGGAGAAGATATGAGAGAGCGGGAGAGAGAGAGAGAGAGCGAGAGAGCGAGAGAGCGAGCGAGCGAGCGAGCGAGAGAGAGAGTATATCATTGCAGGAGAATATAATTGCAAGTGGGATGATATATGTGGCAAGTGATGATGAGGATGAGCATGATAATAATGATGATAATGATGGTAATGCACTGCGTCGAGAGCAAGAGTTGCTAGACCGTGAGAACGAGTGCTTTTTGAAAGCGTGGAGTTTTTTTCGTACGCGTGCTGTTGATGTAAGATCCTGCGTAAAATATGCGGAATATGCATATGTGCAGTTGATCTTCTGAGACAATTTAATGTCCTACCACGTCCTTTGCTTTCAGATTGCAAGAGCATCTTTCGCGATCGACGTTGATCGTTGATCGTTAAATGCTGTGCATGCTTTCGCGACAAGAAACAGGTAATTCCAGGCAGTCGCGAATGCAGAAATTATGATTGGAGAACAGATCTGTGGAGATTTATAAGAGGTCATGGCCGATGACATACGGCGAGGAACTGTGGGATTAAAGTATATATGATGATGTGTTTATGTACATTTCTCTTTCATGTTTCAGATTAAATAATAATTTCTATATTAATTATTTATCTAGATATTTATTAAAAAATTATGAGTATTACATATAATATAATATAATATAATATACACGCTTATTGTAACTTACATATAAATTGTAACTACATGATGTGTATTTGAGACTTTCTCAATTAATGTGATGACAGTGTTCTTTCTATATTACCAACGAGAACATAAATAATCTATAAAAGGCTGATTCCTGAAGAAGTAAATATTTATTGTTCAAATGTATGAGAGCAAATTTTATTTACCTACTTCAGATTTTATATATATTTTTTTTTTTCGTTATATCGCGCACATGTATTCTTATTGCGCATTATATTACAAAGACTTTCAGCAATAATGTGAAGTGCATAATAGATGTTAAAACAATCTCTTAAGTGTCTGCTAAATGATTTCGCAAATTGAACCTCTGCAATATATTTTAGTATTTTAATTAGAGTATATATTTAAACATATCCAAGAAATATATATACTCAGCTATTATATACTATAAATATTTTAAAAATATAGTGATTTCAGAATTACTTAATACTTCTATTTCGCAAATAAAAATTATCTCAATAAAGAACTAATAAATATTAAAACACTTCACATTTTATTAATGTAATAAATATATACAATTATTTAGTAGGAGGCTGTTGTGTACTTAGGTTACATTTCAAAACGTTCTTTTTGAGGAAAATTTTTCTCAGTACCTATAGTTCACATTACATATACTATAGAGTATCAAGTACAATTTCTTTAAAAAGAACGTTTTGGAATGCAACTCTAGAATATTTTATAAGTAAATCATTGTTCGCGCCCGCGCGATTTGATATTGCTTAGTCTTAATTACATCAACATTAGGCGATTTTTGGCGATCGTTTGGTACATATACCAAGATTGATATTGGTAGGGGTGGAGCTTAATTGTGGTACATATACCACAAACATGACACCAAAACGCATTGGTTCTTTTTCATATGCACGAATTCGAAACTATTTAAAATAATTTTCGCGATTAAACAGGCGAGAACCGACGGCAGCGTGTTAAGCTCGGAATCGCTATCATCTAGCACAAAGCCACGGCAAAGTCTATAAGATAGCTCTTTAAATTCGAGAAACGCTTTTAAAGCATATTTGTTTATTATAATAAACGAAGTTTTTAATAATGATGATGAAGAAATATCTGCAGTGGAAATATGTAATTATTTATTTTTTGCAAAGAGTGCAAAAAAAAGAAAAGTAATATGCATATTAAAGGAAAGAACTAACATCATAGTCGTCCTGATTATATTCAGAGATGTGAGTGCATTTGTATATCGAAGCCAATTTTTTCTCCATTTTAGGATGAAACGTTTAACGTTTCAACATTTATTGCAAGTGATAATGCAACAACAGGAAATGCAAAAAGTAAGTAAGTATGACTTGATAACATGAATAATTTATTATTATAAACTACAATTTTAATGTAATTGCAGATATTTACTTTGGTTCAGTTTCAATTAATTTCAATGCAATTCAATTTTAATGTTAAATCTATAAATGTACAATTTAAGTCTATAAACGTCCAAAATTGGCAGTCCCAATTTGCGATTATATCCTCAACTGTGAATAAAATATCAAGGATCCTATCAGAAAAAGTGCGTGTTAACTAAATCTCGAATGTATCGAAGTGGGTGAAACCTCTTTTCCGCGACGCTAATTGGCCGCCTCGACCGTCTCGATTGTCTCGATCCCGTCGCAGTTGAATTCGTGCCGCTTGCAGCCGCGGTGACAGATCAGGTTGTGTTGTTCGCGCCATATGAATTTGATATTTATTGTAATCCCAGCAAACACAATGTTACATGTAACATACATATTAGTTACATATAACATTGTTTGCTGGGAATATAATTTGTAAAAATGAATGTTATGATATAAATTATAAATACAACGAAAAAGCTAAAGTGGCGCGCGTGAAGCGCGCGCTATGTGGTGTTCTAGTAGGATAAATTGAACATGAACAGATGTAAAACACATTTCCTCATGTCATATTTAGCGCGCATTTGCTACCTGGCAATGGGTGCATTCAGCGAACTCAACGTTGCACAACAGTTGAGCAATTCGTCAATATAATTGGTCTAAAGTTAGAGATCTAACAGTAAGGACCAATAATCACTGACCGCTCACTGATCAGCTATGTTTTCTGAAGCCATTATTCGCAGCCATTATTCTACTTCGTAGCTTGGTATAGCATGGTATGAGCCAGGTAGATACCAAAACGGTTAGCCACGCCTCTATCACAAGTTACCAAACACGCTAAAACGTTCTGGTACACTTTGATATATATACCAAACGATCGCCAAAAATCGCCTATTATTTTGGCTTTAAACGAGAGATGTGCCTATCTTTCTTTCTAAATAAATAAAGACAGATATATATTTAAGTTTTGCTTAAAACTAAAATATCGGATCTTAACATACACATTTTCATATATTATGTATATTTATATATATTTAGATATACACGCATCAGAATTGAAGAACATAAAGTAACTTTTCTATAAAGTTATACAAACGTGGAAAGCATTAATTAATTATGCCATGTGTACTATTAGATTTCAATTTTGAATGAATATTTATGATTATAGGACAGATCGGATGGCAACCAAAGAGCGTTGACATTATCGACTGTTGTACGACACTCTGGCGTTCGGGGAGACGCTATTTAGCGCTATGAGTGTGCTCTGTTTTTGTTTGTTCTTGAAAGTTGAATAAGGACAGAGGACGCTAAATAACGTCTCCCCGAACGCAGCCCTTGGCCCTTAGGACCTGAGTACAGACTTTTGCATAACGCATAATGCATAACGCATAAGGGAATTAACCAATCAGAGATCTTTATTTCCCTTTCCAGAATAGAAATGAATGACTCTGATTGATTGATTTCCTTATATGTTATGCATTATGCGTTATGCAAAAGTCTGTGCTCAGGCCCTTATTCTTGAAATAGTTAAGCTGATCACATACACTTTCCGTAACAGTAAGGGTGCGTTTTTTTATTTGCAACAGATACAACCCGATGCACCCGATACATAATTTAATCGTTCTGTATATCCGGTTGCAGACCGTACATCTTGACCGTTCTTTAATTTAAGTTGCAAGCAAAAAGTTGCTTGCAACTTTTAGCATCCCAGTCCAAGCGGCTGCCGAAAAATTGTAGCCTGAGTTCCGAATGTGCAAGAACCTTAAGTACGAATACGGTTCTTTGGTGTGCAGAAAGTAGTGCGTTTCTTAGACAGCATACAATATTTATGATAAATATTTATTTCGAATTATTTCTTAAAAATATTATATAAATATAATATAAATATTATAAATATTATATAATATAAATATTATAATATAAATATAATATAATAATAATATAAATATAATAATATAAATATATATAATATAAATATTATATAATATAAATATTATATAAATATTTTATATATACACACATATGAAGGAAAAGTATCAAAATCTTTATTGAAAATATTATTAAAATACAGACTAAATATTTTATACAATATTTATAGTAAACGAAAAATAGATATTTTTAGTAATATTTTATAAATATATCTATTCACAAATATTATATATGAAAAAAATAAATGTAATTATTTAAAATTATTAAATTAAGGAAAAGAGAAAAATGTATATAAATATATATATTTTAATAAATATTTTTATAATATTTATGAGATATATAAATATTTTTCATCTATTGAATCTAAGGTCACAAAAATATTTTGTAAATATATTTGTAAATATATTTATGAAATTGGTCCATTGAGAGTCGGCAGTCGTAGTCGGCAGTCGGGTCGGCCTGTGCAATCGATTTCTGATACGGGTTAAGGGTGCGATTAGATGTAGCGCGGTATGCGTACGCGGAACGTTGTAAACTAACTAGAAACCGCGCGCAATGAGCCGCGTCTGTTTTCTTCCTATTATTACATGGAGCAGAAACTTACGCGGAAAAGCGGCACAAGCTAGTAACAAATTCTCATTTGTTTTCATTTTCTAAAATGTATTAACTTATTATAAATGTATTCTTATTTTTTCAACAAATTTACTTATTAATTGCATTTAAATCAATTAATTCCGTTTAAAAGTGCATAGAAATGAGAATTTGTCACTAGCCCGTGCCGCTTTTCGCGCAGTTTCTGCTCCAATAGTAGGAAGAAAACAGACGCGGCTCACTGCGCGCGGTTTCTAATTACTTTATAACGTTCCGCGTACGCATGCCGCGCTACATCTAATCGCACCCTTAAGCCCGTATCAGAAATCGACTGCACAGGCCGACCCGACTGCCGACTACGACTGCCGACTCTCAATGGACCAATCACAGTGAGGCGCTGACTCGGCACTGTGATTGGTCCATTGAGAGTCGACAGTCGTATTCGGCAGTCGTAGTCGGCAGTCGGGTCGGCCTGTGTAGTCGGTAGTCTGATACGGGCTTTAAGCAATTGGAAAACACCCAATGAGAGCACTCACTCGTTGTAAATAAAAATGACATAACTAATGTCCCTAGAAAGGTTTTCTATTGGATATTCGACATCTTTCATATAGCATATTCGACTGGCTCTGGATTAACCCACTCTGAGTTATTCAGCCTACGTTTATTGGTCGAACAAGCTTTATGATTGGCTAGTAGAGACTTATGACGTCATTAATCGCTCTCGGAGCGATTAACCCAGGGCCAGCGAACACGCTAATAGTGAATCATAGTAAATTCTTCTTTACGTTTCTACATCTAGGTCTGTTTTACCGATAGTAATGAACAACAGAGCGAGTGGATGCGAAATGCTAAGAAGTGCAAGTAGATGTGAGTGGCGTGTCGCGCTATAATTGAATGGCTAAAAATGTCATCGAGTGACACTTCGTTCCTCCTTCTAATTCCACGGGCGAAGGTGGGATTCGTGGTGGTCGACTCTGGCCGAATCGTGTGAGCGCTAAGTCCATCGATTAACAGGGACGCAAAATAAGATGCACGGTGAGCTCCAAGTTCTCCGTACGCCTACTGGTTGCTGCCGAAGGCTTAGTTACGATCTCGAGCGTGAGCAGCGAGCAGCATTTTATCGTTGGCCGTCAAGGACGAGAATGATGGAAAGAAGATGGTGAGGCAGCGCTTCCTCGGCTACTGGAATGGGTTCACAAACGCTGGAGATTCTGAGGCAAGGCGTCTGGGCGAGCCTGACGGGCGGTTGGTTCTACGATCCGCATCTCGACGCGTTCTCCAACACCTTCCACCTTTACGTCTGGCTGTTTCTACTTTGTCTGCCATTCACGATTTATCTGGTACATAGAAAGCGCCACGACACATTCCGTTAGTCCACGTTCGCTCGTTCACTAGCCAAGCTGTTTATTTTGAGAGTTGCGTAAGTCAATTTCCGCAAATCGTTGTTAAAACAAATATCTGCTGCATCAATTTTGGGTTACATCCGAGTCAACGATTCATTGCACATTATATTTGACTTATGTCACTCTCGAAAAAACCAGCTGAGGCAAGAGCTACTATTATCTAAGGTATTGTTGGAGAATGTTTGTGTCAATTTTTTGTTACCTCCTAGAAGAATATATTCTTATTTCTTGATTTATATTTGTTTATAAGTACATATAAACATGTTTATTAAGGATGATTTCACATTTCAGTATTTTCCTCCTACATTATATGTTTGGTTGGTGTATTGTTCGTCGTTTGTTGCTGTCTTTGGAACGATAAAGTGTGTGAATCATGCTCTGCACTGTGTATATGATACGACTGAGTGTTTGGAGGAGCCAGGACAAACCATCAGCCAACAGAAGTCCGAGAGTGAGAAGAAACGTGCAGCACACAATAAAACTAGGGAACAGTCGCAAGTTCAAACCAGCCATGGCATAGAGTTACAAGTTTTAAATGGTATATAACATATGAAATTCAACAGTAACTTAAGCTGATAATAGAGTGATATTACCTTTCTATGGGAGTACAATTATGGAAAAAAACAAAATACTATATAGTTTATTATTTTAACATAATTCTACTTAACAGAAACTATGTAATACAATTTTAGTATATATTTTTATTTTTCCTAATTTATATTTATTATTTCCAGTTTATCTTTATGTTTGAATAGATTTTCCTACTTTAATATTGTAGAGAGGAGAAATGTTATATATTATTTTATTATTAATGTATTTTTCATAATTTCTCTTGTTTTCAGGTAAAACAGACACACCACCTGTGGAATGTTCATCACGTAACTCATTCATAGAAACAAACATACAGAATGCCGATGCTGATAGTATAACGTCCGAATATAATCGAGACAAGCCTAGCTCGACTATAGATCTGAAAGCAGAAATACATAGAAAAAACAGTTCGGAAAGCTCAGAGGATGCACAGCAACTTAATAAACCAATGGTAACTAGTATAAACGTGCACGAGGCTGAATTGGTTTCAGCACAGTATCACGAGCCACGCTTTAAGAATATTATAAATGGTAATTGAGCGTTTAATTCTTTGATATGAATGAACATCAAATTTACCATATTTATTCAACATTTTTATATAAGTGATCAATGTTTCTACATATAGAGTGGAAATTGAAGCGGCAGAAATGTGTAGTGATCGCGGAGGAAGATAGACCGGGACCTCGTAAATTGTGTCGGCATGCGTCCGAAGATTCGAGAAATCGACACTCCAAGCAAGGCAGTCTCGGTAAAACGGGATCTGAGAGTCAAATAAAGCAGACCAGTTCGTTGGAGTTGGAACATCCCGGCGACGACTATCCCTACTGGAAGTCCAACCAAAGTGTCCGCAGACTTAATTCCAATTCCATACCAATGGAAACACATCTGATAAATGATCATCCGCAGAGTTTGGAGATCATATCGAAAAAAGGGGATGCGGACAACAATAAGATTTCATCTCATCCACAATCATTAGAGGTAAATTTCCGACCATCTATAAATCGCGATCGAATAACTGAATGTAAATGATGAATGAAATATTAAACATCTTGTTTCTTAGGTTAATAATCTTTAAAATCTGCTTCTAATCTTTTCAGGTTATTACGAAGAAACCGCATCAACAACTTGTACATCCACAAAGCCTTGAGACAATTGGTGCTGCTAGTAAAAATATAAACAATACTGACGACAATAACCTGCCTCTTCATCCACAAAGTCTTGAAACAATTAATGCTAAAAAGGTATGAAAGAAGAAAAAGCAAATAGTTTTTTCATTAGTAGTAGTTTTAATATTTGTATTTTATCGCGCGAATTGTGTGTGTATACATTCACGATGCGAATAAAAATGAACCTTGAAGGTCTTACCACAAAACACACTGAAGAGAAACCAACTGCAGCTCTTACCATATCTTAGTTATGGATCCGAAATAGTTCATCCGATAGCGGAACAGAGCGATGAGCAGTTTGCCAATGAAAGTTCCGGAGGATTTAGCTTGCGAGACTCCTACAGCCCGTTACTTACGCGAAAAAACATAGGCGATACCAACGCTGCGTCTAATCGAGACAGAAGCCTCAGCACTGGTAGATTCGAAGACAATTTTTCGAGGTACTTTTGAACGATATATATCACTAAGCATAGTCTTAATATACTTCAATTGAATGAGTCAATGACACACAATCTAATCGATGTTAACGTTACTTTTATAGCTTTAACGATGACAATGGAATAGATAATAACTCTGCGAATTCACGAGATGCGTTGCTCGAGGAATCAAAGCCTAATGTTAAAAGAAGATATAGTAATGCTAGCCAAAGCAGCCACGAATTTTCGGACGGTGAAAAGAATAAAGAAAAGCGATTGAACAAATCCAAGAATGCAGAAGATCCATTCAATTCGGGCAGCGTAGTTGGAATCGACTGGTTGTTTGAGAGCGGCGATTGTCCGGTGGAGTCTTGGACGAGTAAGAGTAAGTTTAGCGTTACAGAGACGTTCTTCTTAGGTAAAAGCAAAAAAATCTTTTGGTCAAGTTATGTCTCGCTGTATGCAAGCTTATACATACTGTTACGTTTTTCTAATTCGTGCTGCCAGTATTTTGGACTTTCGCTCGCTCTGATGATACGGATACATCAGAAAGCCTACAGACGGCTAGTACAGATTGTAAGTTGGACGCACTATAGAGTTAGGGTGTGTACAATCGCGCGTCCGGGAGAGATCGTTGCTAAGTTTATAAGTTTGCTGTTGGAATTATAATCCATTTTTATTAGCAAATACTTAGCGTTTCACACGGCCGCATGTTTCTTGATCTATAATAAGATTGATTTTTCACAGTCCTCATAGTAGACAAGTGACGCTCAGAGTCGATTCGGCTATTCTTTTAGCGTCATTTCTTGCGAGTGATAAAGTTGACAGCGTATAGACAACAAGTTGAACACATGTTGCATATTGATTTGTGTAGATCTGCACACAAAGGAGCCTGACTCGGGATCGTCCAGTACAACGACCCTCAGCATGGAGAACGAAGTGAAGCGAAAATTACTGCCGCAATTGGAAACAGACAACGTCGCTAATAAACGTCATCAGGGAGCAATTCCCAAGCAAAGTCGTCCGAAACCCGCATTGTCGGACGCTGTGGATGATAGCATCGTGAGCACGGAGCAGCCAGAGCAGCGGGAGAATCTCAAGCGTTATCTGGAGGTGCGACGAGAGAAGACTAGGCGATGGGGCGGCGGCGGCAGCGGCAGTAGTGGCGGTGGTGGTAATGGCGGTAGCGGTAGCGGTAGTGGTGGTGGCGGTGCTGGTGGTGGTGGCGGCGGCGGCGGTGGCGGCGGCTGCAGTAGCAGCAGCAGCAGCAAGTTCGAGCAAACCAGCGGTTCAAACAACGAACTGAGTACATTACTGCCCAGTCCTGCGCCTCCGTTATTGGCCGCATTGCTCAATTCCGATCGGGACTTGCCCGGGCAGTCGAGCAACGTGTGCGAACGACGACTGAGCCGCAGCTCTGACACTCGCAACGCCCGAAGAAGGTACGGACGATTGAAACGGCCGTTTCGAGCTCAACGTGGTGGCCCGCGCGGTATCGGCACTCGCGACGATAACGTGGTGCCTTTGACCGCGCTGTTCGGTCTCATTTCTACCGGGGAATGTCACCTAGCCACTAATCACAATGACACGTCCGAGGGCGCAGTGCATTATTTTCGTGACGATAACGGTTGCTGGCTGGCTTACACATTCGACGAAAAGGCTTCGGACATCGCCGCGGCCACGCAGCTGCCCAGTAATCACAACAATGAAAAGCTGCTAAACACCCTGTTGCGTCAGCAACTTAATCAGAATCTACATTACGATACGAACTGGGAACTTACGGATTCCCTGAGCAACAGCTACAGCAGCCTGTCGCTGAATTCCGCCGGTTTGACGGTGATAATCGACACACCGCCGGTATTGTCGAGTCCGGCGAGCAATCAAACTAAGACGCAGAGCTCGCCACCGTCCAATCTGGTCTCCTCGAATACTGGCAGTTCAAATCAATGCACACTGGAGAACTCAGAGCGCGAGCAGTTTCATCATACGCTGTCCATTGCACGCTCAGACTCGATGGCGGACAGGAATCGTCGACTACAAAATCTGCTGGGCAATCTAAATCTCAACGCGTATCATCCGTCTTCGGAGGCTAACGGTGGTCGTATGCCCGTGCTGGCGTTGCCAGCGCATCAAGAGCCCGACATAAACACCAGCCTCTCGTGGAACCGTTTCGTTGAGGGTTTGGATGGTATCGATACGCCGCCGAAGCGTAAACAAACTAGACATTATTACAAATGGAAGATCGGCAAGCTGCCGCATGTCAAGATACGCTTCGATCGCCTTGCGTTGTTGGCGCTGCTCGATCGCAACCTGACCGTCTTCGAGACCGTCGTGTCAACGCTTCTAGCGGCAGCGGTGGCTGGGCTGAGTCTGCTGCTACTCCAGCAGGGTTTCTATCGCGATATCTTCGCGTTCATCTTTTGCTTCGTTACGGCCGGCTGCCAATATTCACTGCTCAAATCGGTACAACCCGATGCCGCCTCGCCCACACATGGCTTCAATCGTATTATCGTATTCTCCAGGCCAGTATATTATATTTTATGCTCGAGCTTGATACTGATACTTAACGAGACGCTGAGAAACTTGGAGAAGTCGTCCGATTTTCGAGTGTATGGGCTACGCGTCGCCGATTATGATCTTATAATGCAGGCGCGTAACGTGCTGCTGATATTCCTGCTGTGCTTCCCGATTGTGTTCTCCTTAGGACTGTTTCCGCAAATCAACACGTTTCTTATGTATGTGTGCGAGCATTTGGATATACATCTGTTCGGCGGCAACGCGACGACCAGTCTAGTGTCGTCGTTGTACTGTCTCTGTCGCAGCGTGTTGACCGTCTTTATCTTATACGGGTTCGCGTACGGCGCTGTGAATGAGCCCAAGTCCTCGCAGCATATTCTATTCTCCATATTCGCCGGTTTACTCGTGGCTGTATCCTACCATCTGAGTCGATCGTCTTCCGATCCCACCGTGATATGGGACATTCTGAAGGCCAACTTGTGGCCGCCTGTGGACAATTACGTAGAGGAAAAGGAAGCGAAAATAATTGAGAACACGTCGTCGTCGTCGCAGCGTGATAATGTTGCAGCGAGCTACAAGGAAGCGAAGATCAAGGCGTCCGGCAGGAAAAAAGACGTGAAAATTAAAGTAGGCGAGCAAATGTCGGACACTGAACTGGTGGATCCACTACCTGAGAAGCTACGTTCAACGGTGAATGCCAGACTGAAGAACGATCTGATCGTATGCGCCGTAATCGGCACTCTGACCTTCGGTGTCCACTGCTCAACAGTGTTCACCGCCCTACAGCCGGAACTGAATCCGATACTGTGGGGTATCGCGGGCTGCTTGGGCTTCCTTCTACATTATATTGTGCCGCAGCTACGTAAACAACTGCCGTGGCTGTGCCTATCGAGACCTGTTCTGCGTAGTCATGAACACGCTCAATTCGAAGTGCGCGAGCCGGTGAAAATTATGTGGTTCGAGAAGGCCTACGTGTGCCTATGCTTTCTCGAGCGTAACGTGTTGTATCCGGTAGTCTTTCTCGGTGCGCTCACCGAGTGCACTCCGCAGATCGTCGAGAAGTTCGGCGAGAGCGTCGGTGCCCTCATCGTCGTTATGTGCGGCCTCAAGTCACTCAGATCCGCGTACTCAGACCCATCCACTCGCTATCTTGTCCTCGTCTTCGCGGTACTCTTTTTCCAGCGGGATATCCGCGGTTTGAGTGAAACCTTTCTGATGGATTATTTCGTCACCGGGATTGCGTTCGCTAAGATCTATGAGCTGCTATTGAAAATTCGCTTCGTCGTCACGTACATAGCACCCTGGCAGATTACGTGGGGCAGCGCGTTCCATGCGTTTGCTCAGCCCTTCTCCGTGCCGCACTCTGCGATGCTCTTTCTGCAGGCCGGCATTTCGGCGATGCTGAGCACACCGCTGAACCCGTTGCTGGGCAGCGCAATCTTTATCTCATCCTACGTGCGGCCAGTCAAGTTCTGGGAGAGAGACTACAAGACCAGACGGGTGGATCACTCAAACACGCGTATGTCCTCGCATCTGGATCGTAATCTTGGTGCCGATGATAACAATCTCAACTCTATATTCTACGAGCAATTAACCAGGTCGCTTCAGCACAGTCTCTACGGCGATCTCGCGCTCGGTCGATGGGGAAACGTCGAACAGGGCGATTGCTTTTTGCTCGCGTCCGACTACTTGAACTGTTTAGTTCACATCATCCAATTAGGCAATGGGCTGGTGACGTTTCAACTGAGAGGTCTCGAATTTCGGGGAACGTACTGCCAACAAAGAGAAGTAAGCACTGAGTTGTTCAATTGCGTTATCTACTGCGTTTCTCTCGTTTCTCCTTTTTCTCCCAGTCTTTGGATATATATATATATATATATATATATATATATATATATATATATATATATATA